AGGTGACATCATTCCGTATCATCATGGCTTTCATAAAACCCACTATATAATTAACAGCTAATGGAGGTTCATTACAGAGCCCAACAAACTTTTATTTTTATGGTGTAACCTAGGAAGTTCTGCGGCTTTTGTCGCAAACATTTTCAGAATTCCTGCCTCACTCTCTCTCTTTTTGTAGTTTGTAGTTTGCAGTTGGCTGTGAAATTTGTGTTATTAAGAAATTAAGAGCCGCTTCGCATGCTTTTCTTTTCTTTTCTACCCATACCCATACCCATACCCATACCCACTTCTTTCCATTTCATTTCATTTCTCCGCCGCCGGATCTTGGCTAACAAGTAAATGTGCGCTGGCCTCCTCGCTCTCTTGTTGGCCATTATCGTGCGCTCTCTTTCGGCTGAAATTAGTTGGCTAAAAACAATGAGAAATCCGTATTCAGGGCAGTTCCTTCAATGGCCGCAACACTTTGGCATTCGACGACTGGCGACGTCCGCCGAGCAGCGGCTTTTGTGTAATATCTAAAACAGAAACCCCAGAAAAAAAACGCAAATGGCTCAAAGTCTTGTAGTGTTCCCCCCGCTCCCACTCCCCCGATCCACCATATACCCGCCATATCCCCCGATCCAGTGCTGATCCGGCCATGGCGGACGTGTTGCGCATGCGCCTGAGGGCAATACAAGTTGGCCGCCGTGTGCACAGTTTATATGCCAAGTGGGCTGAGAGTGAAAATGTCATTGGCAGATGTGTCGCGGATATTAGCAGTGGTTTCCCCGCCAACCCCTTTCTACACTGCCAGAAAATCGAACTGAAATTGGTCATCAGTGAGATATTATTACTTGCTTGAAAACAAATTGCATATCACTTATTGTTTCTTGGAAGAAGATGAATTCATTGTAGTTATAAGGCAAGACATTTAGGCATTTCAAACCATTTATATTAAGATTAAGTATTTTGCTTTATAATATTTTATACATGATTTCTCAACTATGGTTCAGATATTTTTTATAACATTTTATAGCATTAGTTTTTCTCCCCGTGCAGCATTCAATCTGCCACTTCCTCTGCAATCCCCCATCAACAGCCAGCAGACAAAAGGCCCGCACTTGGCTGAATAATTTGTTTATGCAAACGCAACTTGGCGAATATCAAAAGTAACCATTTAAAGTGCGGGAGGTGGGGCTGGAATTATTTACAAGCTTGTTGCTGTCGTAGTCCAGTGAGCACACAACAACACATGTTGCCCCTGCTGGCGGCAACGGCGGCAATGTTGCTGCTTGCTGCCGTGTTGCAGATGTTGCTGCCGTGTTCTGCCCCCTGGTTGCAGGCATCTTTTTAGCCGTAATTATGATGAGCTGCGGCCGTTTAGCTCACAAGTTAATTACCCCGTTTCATCGGATTCAATGGGACAGGCCGGCCACTTTCGACACTTTCAATAGGGGCTGGGCCAAGACCAAAAGGCATCTGTTGCTTCTGTTGCTACTGTTGCTCTTGCTGTTGTTGCTGTTTCTGCTGATGTTGCTGCTGCATTTCCCAAGCCATCTATTTTTGGTGCTCGACGGCCGCGAGCGAAAAGCGCCATTAAATCGATTTTACATTAAAAATATTGCACAAGCCATCATTGTTGGCGTTGCTGCCAGAATTAATGGATCATAATTATGGTACAGTAGCAGCAACAGCAGCAGCAGCAGCAAAAGCAGCAGCAGCAACAGTAGCCGCGGCATTAGAAAAGAAAACAAGAAACCAAGCGGCGCGGCAGACAATTGGAGTCCGATCACGAGGCAGATGCTCAGATGCACAGATGAACAGGCAGAAATTGCTCGAGAGGAAAAGTTTTCGATTCGGATTTAGGTTGCGCGGGGAAATCTCAGGCGGCAATTGTGCCTGCTCTCCGCCAGAAGGTTAGAAGTAAGTCTTTTTCCAGTTCCCCGAGATAAAGATGCCCACTTAGCTAACATTTTCAGTGAAAGAGAACTTTTCTTTTCTTTTTTTTTTACTGTTGCTGATGATGATGTTGCTGCTGCTGCTGCTGCTGCTGCTACTGCATTGTTTTTCTTTGAGTTTTCCAAGAGAAATTTATGGCATACTTTGATGGACGATGATGCGTGGCTGTCGCCGTCCGAATGCCAGGGAAAAAAGACTCTTGAGCGATTTGTTCTGGCCGCAATGCTGACCTCCCCCTCCGAAGAAAGCTAACTGCGCTGACGGCCATCTGTTTTGTTTTTATTATTGTTGTTGTTGTAGTAGTTGTTGTTGTTGTTGTTTTTACTTTTCTCATTGTGCGAGTAGTTTGTATGTTGACTTGACGTCATTTTGCGGCAAGTGAAAATGTGTGCGATGCGGTGCCGACAAACCCGTTTTCAGGTTTCGGTTTTGGTTTCGGCTCAGCTTGGCTTGTGAGATGTTTATGTTTTCAACAACAAGCGCTGCAACAACAACAGCAGTAGCAACAACAACAGCAACAACAGCAGTAGCAGCAGCAACATCAGCAGCAGCAGCAACATTTGTTCGCCTTTTTTTCGGCTCAATGTTAAGACGAGATGTTAAAAACGTGATTTCCATGCGTCGCCAGCGTTGTCGTTGTCGGCATATTTAAATAAAATACTTTTACTATCAACGAAAACTAGTCGACCAGCAGCGGCGGCAAACAGCTCGTTATATTGCTGATCAAAAATTATAGTGCAACAGTTGCAGCGGCAATGGATGTTGCTGCTGCTGTTGCGGTTTCTACTGCAGTTGCTGCTGCTGCTGCTGCAGTTGCATACGCAATGCGCAACGCGCAACGCAAAAGGCCAGTGACCAAAACCTGGATCGACAACACCACCCAAAAGCCAGTGAACCCAGCAATTATCCCATTGCGGGCGGCGGGTGGCCAGGCGATAATACCCGACTTCGATCGGCCCTATAGCCAACGGTTTATCGTCGACATTGCCCGCCAGTTATGCAAGGCCAGCCAGCAGCAATTTATCAATTTTTCATAATTTGCATCACATAACCAAATGGAACGCCCCGCTCGGCTTAATAATGCCAAATAGAGGGAAAGATAGGCAAATAAATATATAAAATATGCGTTAATTGTATGGAAATGTATTTAGCCCAGTGTCCGACCATTTCTTTTGACCCTTTCTTTCTTTTTTTTGTCATTGTCTTTCGCCCCGCCGCGTATTAATGGGAATTATACAATATTAGCGGGCAAAAAAGAGCTATTTTTGATTTGTGAAGTGAATCATAATAGAGCTGTTACATTTGCCGACTTTTGAGTCGAGTTGAGGGTGTGTATCCATAATAGGCTTATGTCGGGTAAATCTGCCGCCCGAAAGTGGAATTCTGGGGGAGATTACACGGGTCTGTGTGCCAAGGTCTTATCTATGTTGTTGGTCGGAGATTACAAGATGGTAACCACCAGATACAAGCAATTATCTCCTGGTCTTCCAGCTCTTCTCTGCGTTCTGAACCTGCTTTCAATTAGCTCTTGTGATGTCATCGGCCCGATATGCAAATCCATGCTAATGCAACCGTTTCTTGGCTTTTGTCTTGGCCAAATTGGCAGCACTCGCAGCAGCAGCAGCAGCAGCAGCAGCAGCAGCAGCAGCAGCAGCAGCAGTAGAAAAAAAGAGACTTACTCAACACGAGCGAACGGAAGTGATTAAGAAAGGCGAAATGGCCGCATCTAGCCATCTTTTTCTCTCTCCGAAGAAAGTGAAGAGGAGGAGCAGAAGGGGGAGGGGGATAGCGATATGGAACTAGACAAAAGGCTGGCTTATGCAAATGCTAACTGGCCACAGATTCACATCCATCCGACTGCCAACATCCAACAGCTGTTTTGTCTAACTCTGTGATGTAAGCCAGTCTTCTTCTCTTTCACTCTGCTCTTAATTTATGCAAATGCGACAACATTTCTTCGACGGCTTTCTTCAGATGCAAAACACCGTGGATATAGTATACACACCCCACTTATATACCACACCACTTGGGTATATGTAATGCAGGAACAATAAAGATTTTGGCAACCTGGGGGTGGCCAAGCCGAACGATATTCGCTAAGAGCCCCAGACAAAAGCAAAAGCCTTTTACAATAAAAGCCAAAAGATGGAATGTACACAAAAACATAACAAATTAGTTTAGCACTTTTGAAAGTTGTCAAGGGGAAGCGGACGTGGTCGTCATACGCCTTGCACACTAAAATGAGCCTCTGACTTTTGCTTTTCTGAAACTGAAACATAAAACTCTTTATAATTGCACTGTAAACATTTCACTTTCGTTTTTTATTCCGCTTGTATTTTGTGTGTTTTTTTTTTTTTTTTTGTGTTTTTCTTGCTTGCTTGCCCTGTGTCTTGGAAATCAGCTTAACACACGACGAACTGTCGTCTCCGCGCGTCGTGCACAGAATAATTTCATCGCTCGCCGCTTTCGCCATCATATTACAATAATTTACAATATGTGGGTGCTCCGAGATGAGATTGCATCGGGTTTGCACTGCTGACTGTGCCTGCCGAGGACTCAATTAGCATCTGTCCAGATTATGGCCTCGCATTTGCATTAATGAGACGTGCGATTCGGGAATCGCCTCTTTTCTGGGGTTTCTTTTTTGGCCAAGTCGTGGCGGCTACTGCCGATGACCCCACGGATGACCCAGGGTTTCTGACATTTTCGGATAGCAAAGCGTTTCCAAACAGTCTTTGGATATTTTGGTAGTGGTTATAAGACCAGAAAGTGATTATATTTGTTCTTAAATAGAAAATACTTAAGCGCATTTAGAAAACAATCCACTATGAAGACGATGTTTCTTGTTTTGAGAACCTATAGATCTTAAAACAAATCTTTCTCAATAGAATATTTTGATATACTTTTTTTTTAATTCACTGAAAAGTTGTTTATCTTGGGATCTTTAAAACCTATTCATCTTTTATAAGAAAATGTATTTAAAGGACTTAATTTACGATTTCTTTTCTTTCTGAATTTTTAATTCTAAGACTAACTCTTCTTTTACTCTGTTTTCATTACAGATCAAACTCCAAGGCTTCGTATTTGCCGCGCCAGAGTCTGGAGAAGCTGAATAACACAGACCCGGACCATGGCATCTACAAGCTCACCCTGACCTCCAACGAGGACCTGGTGGCCCACACAAAGCCCAGCTACGGGGTGTCCGGCAAGCTGCCCAACAACCTGCCGGATGTCCTGCCCCTGGGCGTCCACAAGCTGCAGCATCAGCCGAAGTTGCAGCCAGGATCGCCGAACGGCGATGCCAATGTGACCCTGCGCTACGGCTCCAACAACAATCTGTCCGGGAACTCGCCCACGGGTGCCACGCCCCCCTACTACGCCTCCGGGCAGCGGTACTCCACACCGGCTCTGGTGCAGGGATACGGAAAGAGTCCGAAGGCCACAACCCCACAACAGCAATACACGAGATCTCAGTCGTACGATGTGAAGCACACGAGTGCGGTGGCCATGCCGCCGATGTCCCAGTCCCACGTGGATCTCAAGCAGGCTGTGCACGATCTGGAGACCACGCTGGAGGAGGTACTGCCCACCGTCACGCCCACGCCGACGCCCACACCGCCACGCCTCTCGCCGGCCTCCTCGCACTCGGACTGCAGCCTGAGCACCAGTTCGCTGGAGTGCACCATCATCAATCCTATCGCGGCACCGATTCCTAAGCCCGAGGCGCACATCTTCCGCGCCGAGGTGATCAGCACCACCCTGAATGCGAACCCCAAACCGAATCCGAATCCGAACCAGAATCAAATCCCGATGACACCGCCGAGTGCTCCGCCGCCACCAGTTAAGCCAGCGATGAACCGCCAGGAGTCGCTGAGGGAGAACATCGAGAAGATCACCCAACTGCAGTCGCAGCTGATGTCGGCGCATCTGTGCGACACGGGCCTGCTGGGTGGCTACTCCTCCCCGCTGATCACCAGTCCCACTGCCAGTTTTGCGAACGAACCACTGATGACGCCGCCACCACCACCGCTGCCCAGTACACCGCCGCCGGAGGAGATTCCTCCCGTGGAGGAGATTGTGCCCGAGACGGAGTGCGAGATCAAGGAGCTGCAGCTGATGCAGCGCAGCGAACTCATCCTGATGGTGAATCCCAAGCCGAGCACCACGGACATGGCCTGCCAAACGGACGAGCTGGAGGACAGGGACACGGATCTCGAGGCGGCACGCGAGGAGCACCCCACGCGGACCACTCTGCAGCCCCGCCAGCGACAGCCCATCGAACTGGACTACGAGCAGATGAGCAGGGAGCTGGTGAAGCTGCTCCCAGCGGGCGATAAGATCGCCGACATCCTCACACCAAAGAGCTGCAAGCCCACCTCGCAGTACGTGAGCAATCTGTACAATCCGGATGTTCCGCTGCGCCTGGCCAAACGGGATGTGGGCACCTCCACCCTCATGAGGATGAAGTCGAACAGCTCGTCCGCCGAAATCCGAGTGGTCAGTGTGGAGCTGCAACTGGGAGAGCCGAGTGGCGAGCCAACGAATTTAATCAAGCAAAAGATGGTGGGTATCTGCTAATCACATTTCTAGTATAGAATTATAAATTTAATTTATTTTTTTTTATGTTTTTCCAGGATGAGCTCATCAAGCATTTGAACCAAAAAATTGGCTCCCTGAAGCGCGAGCAGCAGACGATTGCCGAGGAGTGCTCGGCCAATGACAAACTGGGCCAGGACCTCTTCGCCAAGCTGGCCGAGAAGGTGCGACCCAGCGAGGCCTCCAAGTTCCGCACCTACGTCGACGACGTGGGTCACATCACCAGTTTGCTCCTCTCACTTTCCGAGCGCTTGGCCCAAACGGAATGCAGCCTGGAAACGCGCCAGCAGGAAAAGGTATGTACTCAGGAATTCCCTTTGCAAAGGATTATATTTTATTGAGGAATATTTTTGTGTTATCCTTAGGGTGCGCTGGAATCGAAGCGGGATCTGTTGTACAAGCAGCTGGAGGAGGCGCAGGGCCTCAAGGCGGACATCGATCGACGTGGAACCAGTATCGCCGGACTACTGGGCAAAAACCTCAGCGCCGACATGTGCGCCGACTACGATTACTTCATAAACATGAAGGCCAAGCTGATCGCCGATGCACGCGACCTGGCCGAAAGGATCAAGGGCAGCGAGGAGCAGCTAAGCTCACTCAGCGATGCGCTAGTCCAAAGCGATTGTTAACCTGGCCAATGGATAATGGTCCGATGATTCGATTCTCCCAGCTGTCAACTCAAAGTTGAGAGCCGATCGAGAGAGTCCGCAGGATCTGCCAGTCCACTCCGCAAATGTGTATTAGTTTAAAACGATGTGCTTAATTACCACGCCCCACACACTATAATGTATAAATATTGTATGTTCATTTGTGATTTTCAACTAGCTAGTAGGTTAATTATTCTATATATCGGCCGCATAGGTGTAAGCATTTTCTACATAATTATCAAAGCAAAGATAAACTGTATGCATTAATAAAACTATGGAAATTATAAAACTTTGGTTCTTCAATGGAAAAAATTGCTGGTGCCGCCTGAAGGTAGGCAATACAAATTTCTTTTATAGCCTTGTAACTTTCTTGAATTGGTGCTAAACATATACAATAAACCGGTTGGTGTATTTTGTTTTATTTGTCAACAAAGTTCAAAATATTTAATTAAAACAGTTTATGCGGTTATTTTACATTGAAGACGGTTTACGGAAACACAAATAGAGAAAACTAGAAGTCTTTATACCATTGCAGCTATTAATTATAATAGTGTTAAAAATTGAAAAGAGAAAAAGCACAACATTTTCAAAGTTTCCGCGCGCCACGTCGCAACGAAACATCGCCGTTCGATAGTATCGAGTAGGCATCGCTTTTTGTATCATCCCTACGGCCGATATGCAAAACATTGTTATAAACATTGTTATTGTTGCACACGTTGCAGGGTTTTCCAAAGGTAGGAAAATCGGAAAGGCCAGGAGAAACCAAGGCGAGTGAAAGCAGAGCGCAAGTCCCCAGATCCCCGATTCCCCATTTGATATGTTCAGGGCCAGACTGCACTTCCCCTGGATACGAAGCACTCTGCAAACGACCTTGAAACTCCCAGCAGATACATCAAGAACCGAATCGGTCCGTCGGATCCAGAACCTGCGACTCCCACACATCGGTTGTCGTAGTCGCACTGTGAACAAGTGAGTTGCGGGTCCGGAAAAAAAACCACCTGTTTTCATGTTGTGCTTTCTTCCGGTAACAGCCAGAACATCAGAAGAATGGCCAGCGGAGGAAATGAACCCAAGGAGGAGGCTCCAAAACAAGGAAATCGATTGATTTCCTCCAAGTCGCCGTATCTTTTGCAGCACGCCCACAATCCGGTGGACTGGTGAGTTGAACAAAAACAAAGACCCCGTGCAGGTGCACCAAAATAGAAAACCGTGGGAGTCACTTGAGATTAAGTCACGAGTGATAAGAGATTAGGCGCGATAGAAATAAAAACAACAACGCTTATTGGTAGGCCCCCGCATTGAAATGATTATACACGTTTCACTCAAACAAAAGTCGTGACGCTCAAACCATTAAAATATAACAACAAAAGGTGTGCTTAAAATATGATTAACATTATAATTTCTCTAAAAAGGTATCCCTGGGGCGAGGAGGCTTTCGAGAAGGCCCGCCGTGAGAACAAGATGATCTTTCTCTCGGTGGGTTACTCAACCTGCCACTGGTGCCATGTGATGGAGCACGAATCCTTCGAGGACCCCGAGACCGCGGCCGTTATGAACGAGCACTATGTGAACGTTAAGGTGGATCGGGAGGAGCGTCCGGATATCGACAAGGTGTACATGCAGTTCCTTCTTATGTCTAAGGGCAGTGGCGGTTGGCCGATGAGCTTGTGGTTAACTCCAGACTTGGCTCCATTGGTAGCGGGAACATATTTTCCACCTAAGGCCCGCTATGGAATGCCCTCTTTTACGACCGTGTTGAAATCCATTGCCAAAAGGTGGGAAACCGACAGGCAATCCCTTGAAGCGGCGGGCTCCAATTTGATCACCGCTTTACAGAATAATCAGGACGCTGGCGCGGTGGCAGAAGCAGCATTCGGACGTGGAAGTGCCATCGAAAAGCTAAACGAAGCCATCAACATCCATAAGCAGCGATTCGACCAGGACAACGGAGGATTTGGATCGGAACCCAAGTTCCCAGAGGTGCCACGTCTAAACTTTCTATTCCACGGCTATCTAGTCACTAAGGATGCGGATGTGCTGGACATGGTGATTCATACGTTGGAGCACATTGGAAAGGGTGGCATCAATGATCACGTCTTTGGGGGCTTCGCTCGCTACGCCACCACCAAGGATTGGCACAACGTCCACTTTGAGAAGATGCTCTATGACCAGGGTCAACTGATGACGGTTTTCGGGAATGCCTACAAGGTGACCAGGAATGAAGTCTTCCTGGGCTACGCAGATAAGATCTACCAGTATTTATTGAAGGACTTAAGACATCCTTTGGGGGGTTTCTTCGCTGGCGAGGATGCCGATTCGTTGCCAACCCATGACGATAAAGTGAAGGTCGAGGGAGCCTTCTACGCTTGGACCTGGGATGAGATTAAGGACGCTTTCAAGAAGAAGGCCGAGCGGTTTGAAGACATTACTCCCGAGAAGGCTTTTGAGATTTATGCTTTCCACTACGGCCTAAAGCCCCCGGGAAATGTGCCGGCCTACAGCGATCCACATGGGCACCTCACCGGGAAAAACATCCTTATCGTGCAGGGATCTGAGGAGGATACCACTGCCAACTTCAACATAGAGGCGGAGCAGTTGGTGAAGCTTCTGGAGACAGCCAATGACATTCTGCATGATGTGCGGGATCAGCGACCTCGTCCGCACTTGGACACCAAGATTATTTGCGCCTGGAATGGGCTGGTGCTTTCGGGACTCTGCAAACTGGGCAACTGCTACTCCGCCAAACGGGATGAGTACATGAAAACGGCCAAGGAGCTGTTGGACTTTCTGCGCAAGTATATGTATGAACCGGAAAAGAAGCTTCTCATCCGCTCTTGCTATGGCGTGGCTATCGGAGATCCAACTCTGGAGAAAAATGAGTAAGTTTTGGTTCTTATAAAATGAATCGCGGTAATCTCTTTTTGTTTTTGGTATTTGTGCTCATCATAGGACCCAAATCGATGGTTTTCTAGACGACTATGCTTTCCTTATCAAGGGCTTACTGGATTACTACAAGGCCACATTGGACGTCGAGGCTTTGCATTGGGCGAAGGACTTGCAGGAGACGCAGGACAACCTCTTTTGGGATGAGAAAAATGGAGCCTACTTCTTTTCGAAGCAGGATGCCCCCAATGTTATTGTGCGGCTTAAGGAGGGTAAATTGGTTTAGATCTTATCCTCATATTTATGGGAATTGATTGGATAAGTTCTTTGCAGACCACGATGGCGCCGAGCCGTGTGGCAACAGTGTGTCCGCCCGAAATCTTGTTCTTCTCGGCCACTATTACAACGAGCAGGCATATCTCGATAATGCGGAAAAGCTGCTGAACTTCTTTGCAGAAGTATCGCCCTTTGGACACGTTCTTCCCGAGATGATGTGCGCCCTGCTGATGCAACAACACGGACTGGATCTTGTGGCAGTGGTGGGACCCGATTGCCCGGACACGCAGCGTTTTGTGGAAATATGCCGCAAGTTTTACATCCCAAGCATGATTATAATGCACGTGGATCCCGCGAATCCGGAAGACGGCTCAAACCAGCGCTTGCACACCAAGTTTAAAATGGTCGGTGGCAAGACAACAGTTTACATTTGTCACGAGCGAGCATGCCGCATGCCGGTTACCGATCCAAAAACACTGGAAGACAACCTCATGACCTATTTCTTTTCAAAGCGTGCTTAAGTCCTGAAAGATACTCGAATTATATTTTTAGACCATTTAGATGTTATTACGATGTTGTTTTTTATTTTGCTTTAAAAGCAAAATCAGTTCGCGGAACTCGATAGTTGTAATTAGTCGTTAATAAGGACCCCAATAGACTTGTGACAGAGTCATGTAGCTTCAGCTTACTCCATTATAAAGTCTAAGAGACTTCCCACACCCGCATTACCCTAAGTGTCCACAGTTGGTTGACGTTGCTATATTTAATGTGACTGACAACTAAAATAACCAACATATATATATATGTGTTTTCAAAGTTAATAAATGGGGGTTAGCCCTTCACAATGTTGTTATTTTTTTGGGGTATGCGCATAAAGGTTAAAAAGAAGTGCGATTCGCGGCACATATCCACATTCACCAAGCAAATAAAACCAACGTTGATTAATCTCTCTTCTCGAATACAACACGTTTTGTGCATTTATTGGAATCGTTCTGTTCGTGGAGCAATCAACCAGTCGGTGGTCGGCTGCACCTGCTCCGCCCCAGAGGCTTAGGCGTAAAACTAGGCTTTAAACTAAATGCGTGCCCTGCGCTGCGTCCGTGATCCGCACCCAAACCCGATTAAATTGACGGAGGAATGGTGCTGGTATCCCGGAGGCCACGGCAATCGGCGTAGAAGGAAACTAAACGTATGGAGAGAACAGCTCGGTAATCGGTAATAATAATCGTAATAATAGTAGTTTGTAGCAATTAAAATAATTTAGTTGAAATTCACATTCATCACATTGGTTGGCCGACCATCTGCCATGCCTCATCCTCAACTGTTGCCGTAGCCCTTGTCGTCATCGTCTTCATCGTCGTGGTCTCCGCCTCTCAGGTGTCCGCATCGTTGAAGCTCATGGCCGCATCGAAACTATCCACGATGGTCTCCATGCGTTCGTGGTGCTCGAACCGCGCAAACTTACGGGCGAATTTTCGGCTGGATCGCGAGGTGCTGTACCTGCGTGAGTAGCGCGCGCGCCGGAAGAACCGGAAACGGGTGTCCTCCTCCTCTTCGTCGTATTCCGGCGCCGACACCGAATCCTCGTCTGTCTCGCGCAGAAATTCCTTGGGATCACGATGAATCTTGAAGATCTTGGTGGTCGCCCCATTAAGTTTCGATATGGTGCGCGAAGTATTCAGAATCCCGCTTGAATTCGGAATGGAACTGTTGCGGTTTTTGATGGCCGTAAGCCGGTTCGTGATGGACACCACATTAAACAACTTGGACAACTCAGAGTCGACGCAGCGGGATTCACGACGCATGTTCTTCTTGCCGTTCTTTACGTAGATGAAGTGGTTCAGGGGGCTCTGACTTTGGCTATCCAGGGGATGGCTTCCGGCGGAGCAGGTGGGCGAGACGGAGACGGATACCGAGGTGCTACTGCCGCCGCCCCCGTTACTGGTCAGCAGGGTGGGCGTGGAGGGCGGCGCTGGCGGTGGCACATGCGGCATTGTGTAGCAGCGCTGACGGCCGGGTGCCAATGAAGACCCCCCGCCCGCCGCCGGCCCATCGTACAGGTTGGTTACGTTGTAGCGGCTCAGGCGACACAGCGACGTGGACTCCGACTCCAGTTCCGCCTCCGGATCGTGGCTGGTGGGCATGTCCATGGCCTGTGCGTGTGTGTGCGTGGTTTTGGCCAGATTTTCGCGAGTGGGTGGAGTGTGGAGTGGTGTTGTAGTGTGGTGTGTAGTGCGACGGGGCGAAAAGAAAGGGCGTTGTAGCAGCTTTCAGGTTATTCGCACCAATTTGCGGATGCTGTGCTTCCACTTACCTGCAGCAAGCCTTCGACCTCCATGTATTGGCTTTCGGTGAGACGTATTTTTCTAGATTTTTTTATATTGATCAGAAAAATATTATTATTTTCGCCAGTGTGACCGAATGGCGTGCGTGGAATTCCCTTAGACCTATTAAAAACACATCAAAACACCATTTTATCGATATTTGTCTCTAATTTTTATTAAAATATCGATTATAGTTTAAAAGGTGTTCAAGTTTTAATTCTAATAACTAATTTTCTATTATAAGGTAGAGCACGCTATTCAAACTAAACTCAAAAATAAATACAATTTGACCAGCTGTATAAAATTATTTGTCAGCCTCAACCATTTGGCGGTTATTTTTGAAATGCGGTTGCCATTGGACGAAAAGTTGATTAAATAAACATATATTAGCCTCAAATTTTAATAAAAATAGTAAAAAATAACACTTGCACAAGCAAAGGAGAAAAACACAAGAAAAGAAAATCCTTGATATTTAAACCTAATTGCAGTGTTGTGAAATTAGATGGCTTAATTCGTATGAAACCATTTTATAGTATAATATAATAGTTTCCATAGATTCCACATGTAATAAAATATGAGAACTGAAAAAAGAAATTGGTTTTCCTGTAAAAAAACATTCACCATGCCACCCCAAAAAATGTAACAGTTATTAGGTTTTGTAGTTTTGAGTTTATTGGTTTTCTGGTTTCAGTCTTTTTGTTGGATTGCTTCCATGCGTTCCGCAGCCACTTGCGGTCATCAATAGGCCCCCACTCTTGGTTTCTTGTGGGGATTGCGGGCTTTTTCTCTCGATGTGCTTGTGGCCAACACTCCAGTTTGTGGCGCACGTTTTGAGTTCGGCCCCCATTTTCCGGAATGATTCCGGGGCGGATGGCTATAGGCGCCTATGTCATCTGCACAAGTGACCGGTTTTACATGGGGGCGGAGAGAGTCAGTGCCAGCTGGAGGGGCGTGGCAGTGGCGTCTCCCAGCCCGGAGCTTTTGCTCTGGTTTTTGTTGGTTCTGGCGTGCCTCAAGCTTGCCGCGGGATCGCAGGGGTGAAATCATAAACAGCCCTACACCCATGATCCCGAATGGGACAATTTGGCGTGCCAACCGCACGAACGGCGAATCGGGAGCCATCGTAGTGCGATGTACGTAAACGATTGATTTGACAAATGTCAAATTGGTTGGTTGGTTTTTAAATTTCCGAGGAAATTTAGGTTTTGCCCGGCTCACGCCCGCTGTAGCTCCACTCGCACCAGGGACATCGCGAAAGGTGGCGACACCCAAAACAGGCAGCAGCCGAAGCCACCACCGGAAATGGGGATCTCCGCCCCTCGGGGCTGTCGATGAGACATGCAAAAGGATCTAAGCGGGCGGTCACCAGGCGGGGGGTTTTTTGCCAGCTTCACAAAGGACCAGGATCAGTCGAAAAAGTAAGCGAAAAAGGGTTACCAGAGAGTTGATCACTACACTGAAAAATATAGTAATCTCCTCTCTGGTTAACCAACTCATCGCTTATCTTTCGCTGACCGGCACAAAGTGGAGCCGGCGGGGGTGAGAATGTACGGGAAATCTGGGCGGCTGAAGATCAAACAACATCCGTTCGAGGAGGCAATGTGGAACCATAAAGCTTGTTACCAAAAGCAGTTTCATGCCCTTAGCTGTCGCCAAGAGCACTTAACCGTCCGTTTCGGCATCAAACTTAACAGTTCTCCATTGCAAATACCCGAACTTCTGGACGAGATGCCTGATCCTCAGCCGCTCGATTCTCATAGTTCTCGATGCACTTTGCTTGTTGTTGAGTTTCAAGTTCAAATTCAAAATTGCAATTGAAAAAATTGCTGGTTGGACAGTTGGCGTTCTTTGCCAAAATAGCCGCAGGGCGGCGTGAAGTATTTGATTTTGTGGAGCCGTTGTTGGGGGATACTACGAAGTGCAGTATAAACAGCGTGATTTTTTTAGGGGGGCAGAAGCTAATCGAGGCCTACCGACACGCCTATTGCCAGTGAGTTTGAAGAGTTCGGGATTGCCGGCGGAATGTTGCTGGTGTAGCGGCTGATGTTGCTGTCGTACATGTTGCTGCCGTACATGTTGCTGCTGGTGGTGTTGCTGCCGCACATGTTGCTCCCTCTCTCCTCGGTTGTTGGGCTCTCGCTGACGTCGAACGGCCAGTGGGGCGACGAAAAGTTCTGAATAGTTTTGAGAGGCGTAGCCACCGGGGATGATGTCATGTGGTGACTGGTTTTGCCTACTTGGTGTGCTGGTGTGTTGTTCGCCTACTCGTCGTGGTTCTCCTCCTGCCGATCCTTCTGACGCTTGCGGCAGTTGTCGAAGGTGTGTCCCCGGAAGTTGCAGTAGGTGCAGCGGGTGGTGCGACGCGCACCCTTCACGTTCTTCGCCGTGGCGGAGTGCTCCTCGTCCTCCTGGTTGTTGTGCTCGATGATGCGGCCCTGCTCGAGCAGGTCCTTGAAGGTCTGGACAGCTTGGCGGGAAATGTGCTTGCGGTACTTGATGTTCAGCAGACCGTAGAGCAGGTCCAGTTCCGTCTCCTCGTCGTGGCGACCGCTGGGCAGCTGGGCCAGCAGCGCTCGCTTGTGGACCACAAAGGTGTCGATGTGGTCGCTGTCCTCCTGCTTCTTTTGGAAGAACTCCATGTAGACCTGGTAGGCGGGCTTGGTGGGCGAGAAGTGTTCCCGGATGAGGGCGATGGCGTCGTTCCAGGTCTCGGCCTCCCTGCGGACGCCCTGCCACCAAGTGGAGGCCAGTCCGTAGAACAGCAGCGAGATTCCCTTGAGGGCGTTCTCGTCGCTGATGTCCTCCAGCTCCTTGTAGATCTTGATGTTGGTGATGAACTCCTCGACCACGTCGTGATCGCGGGTTCCGCCGAAGCTGTGTGTGCAGGCCGAGAAGCTGCCCTTCCCCTTGGAGGTGGAGGCCTGTGCTTCCCCGGCCGCGGTGGCCGCCTTTCCGGCGGCACTTTCGGCGGACACCCGCACTGCGTCGATCAGCTCGCGGAGCTGTTCGCTGGTCATCTGGAACGTCTGCGCCATTTTCGGTTCTTTGAGGTTGGATTTGATCTAAGTGGGCGATAACACGTTTTTGGTTTTTGGGAGTTCCTGGTCGGCGGGCAAAGCCAATGTAGCGAATGCGGCCGGTATTGCGTTGTGAACTGAAGTGCTCCCCGTTGTTTGGGGTCTTTTTATACCCGGCAGTTGTGAAATCAAATTTCGAAAAAGCTTATCGATCTAGGGAGAGCCAAAAGAGGGCATTGCCTATGGTTTTTGTTGTTATTGACTTGTGAGTCATCACGGCGTTTTGCTAATACCATTATGAATGCCGGCAACCGGCAACAAACATGACAAACAAGACTGATAATGAATATGTTTCATTTAATTTTTTTTACGAATCTATACTATAATAAAAAGAATTCTCTTAGTAACTACCCTGAATTTTTTTGGGGAGTTTTCCGCTTATAACACTATATAAGCAGGCAATATCTACAAACTGAGTGACACATTTATACCTTTTCAGGGAGTATTATAATTTCAGTTAGAAGTTTACAACGCCGTGAAAGAGAGACCTCAGATCCTATAAAGTAAATACATTTTTGATCAGCATCAATAGCATCAGCATCACGCAGGCACGTATCCAGGGAATCCCGAAATCTTTGAATTCAAAAATTTTTTCTATTTAAGATTTTTCATTAAAAAGTCTTCAGTAGAAGAAACCTGACCTAACAGGAATAATAAAAGATCAAACGTCACGCACTGATTAAAGATTGATGTGTGATTTGCCTTTTTCTGAATTTATTCGAATAAGTCCACATTTCTTAATGATTTTTGTCCTTGAGCCCCCCCCCGGAACAAATTTCTGGATACGGGCCTGGCATCACGATCTCAATCGAACTAGACCCCTTACCAAATTTGCAAGTTTTTTTTTTTTTTTTTTATAACTCATTTGGAAAATCATGTTAATTTACATATATGTATATATTTACATACATATGTATTTCCGGATAAACTGAAAATTCGTATGCAATATTTTTATTGAAATATTTTCTTTTGTAATTGTTTAAGAACCAAATTGTATTTACATAGCCTTTCGAAATTGCACGAACTGACTCATAGCTTCAGTAGCAACAAAAGATGTTCTGGTTGCCACACAAACTCATCATTATGTGCAATCAATAGTTGTTCACATTATATATCGTTTAACTTTTAATATGGCTAAAGATGCATTTCATTTTTGACTAAAAGAAAATTACTAGTTTACTTTCATCAATTAAAAACATTGGCATGTTTGAATGCCACCTGTTATCTAGGTACATTATCAAAAGAAATTGGTGTTATTTCAGATAGAGATAGGAGGGTGAACCCCCCAGAGGCCAGAAACAGCTCTCCCATTTAACTTAAACGTATACAGAGAGTGACCTCGGTTTTCGAAGTTCGAAAAAGCTTTTAGCCAAGGAGAGCAGAGAATTGCGTTTTATTTCACAACGAGCGAAATCGCTGAGCAGACTGTTTTTTACCGCCAGTTGCTCCGCTGCCGTCCAAAAGTTTGGGGCTTGAATTTCGGCTGAAAGCGGGTACATTTCCGGCGTTTGTTTATTTTTTTGGTAACCATAACCGAACCCAAACAAAAATCGGCAAAATGACGCAGATGTCCGACGAACAGTTTCGCATACTCATCGAAACAATTCGATCGCTCGCGCCGATCAAAGAAGAGGAGCCGCCGTCGAAGGGGAGTTTCAGCAACTGCTTGGTGAGATTCAGTGGACAGCGGGATCACGATGCCGTGGATGAGTTCATCAACGCGGTGGAGACGTACAAGGAGGTCGAGGGTATCAGCGATAAGGATGCGCTGAAGGGTCTGCCCCTGCTCTTCAACAATATAGCCGTGATGTGGTGGAAGGGTGTGCGCCGAGATGTCAAGACCTGGCAGGATGCCCTGCAGCTCCTGCGCGACCACTTCTCGCCCACCAAGCCATCCTACCAGCTCTACATGGAGATCTTCGAGACGAAGCAGGCCTCTGGCGAGGTCATCGACGCCTTTGTCTGCAAACAGAGAGCCCTGTTGGCCAAATTGCCGGAGGGGAGACACGACGAAGAGACTGAACTGGATTTCATCTTCGGCCTGATGCAGCCGAAGTACCGGGAGAGCATTCCCCGCCATGAGATCAAGTCATTCCGGGAACTACTCGATCGGGGACGAACGTTGGAGCGTGCCAAGAATTCAAGTTGGGCTTAAGTTAGTTAGTTTTACTAGGCAAATAAAAATGGTTTACATTAATCGAATATAGTAAGAGTTTTTATTTTGGAAAGGCACACTTATACTCAATAACTGACGTTTATTTTTAATTCATAACAAAAACATCCCCATAAAATTTGAATTTCCCGCCAAATATTCTTGGGATTCATTAACTATTCGCTGCTAGTATTTTCTTAGTATTTTCACGATGTGATTTTCTCGCAGCTCGGAGTCTGGCCACGCTGTTTTGGCATTTCACAAATCTGCTCGAGGTGCGTTGCGATTTTTTTTGAATTGTTCGATTTGGCGACCGCCGAGTTGGGGAAAGTACCGCGAAAGCAGCGGATAACCAGGCGAGAATTTCCCGCCATCCGAGAATGCTTCACAGATAGCATTTCCGCTTTTTCAGGTGGCTGGACTCTGCTTGCGTCCCCCTTTCCTGTCCTTTTAAAGGCTCTGATGTGAGACGGCGACCGCGAATCTGCGACTGGGACTGCGACAGCTGAGCGCCGGGCTGAGGACACGATGACCACCAGCAGCGAGGACGTGCTGCTCCAGATGGGCGAGGTGCGGTACAAGAAGGGCGATGGCACCCTCTACGTGATGAACGAGCGGGTGGCCTGGATGGCGGAGCACCGGGACACGGTCACGGTTTCACATCGCTATGCGGATATTAAAAGTAAGTCGTTATTAGTGGGAACTCTTTAACAAGTAATAATTTTATTTTCTGTCCAGCCCAAAAGATATCGCCTGAAGGCAAGCCCAAAGTGCAGCTGCAGGTGGTGCTTCACGATGGAAACACCTCTACGTTCCACTTTGTCAATCGCCAAGGACAGGCCGCCATGCTCGCTGACAGGGACAAGGTCAAGGAGCTGCTGCAGCAGCTTCTGCCTAATTTTAAGCGAAAGGTGGACAAGGATCTGGAAGATAAGAACCGAATACTCGTGGAGAATCCCAATTTACTGCAGCTGTACAAGGACCTCGTCATCACCAAAGTACTGACCAGCGACGAGTTCTGGGCCACTCACGCCAAGGATCATGCACTCAAGAAGATGGGCAAGTCCCAGGAGATCGGTTTGTATTACATCATTTATACTCGTGCTGTTTTTTACTTTTAAATCCCGATTCCAGGCGTCTCCGGAGCCTTCCTGGCCGACATCAAGCCGCAAACGGACGGCTGCAACGGCCTCAAGTACAACCTCACCTCCGACGTGATTCACTGCATTTTCAAGACCTATCCCGCCGTCAAGCGCAAGCATTTTGAGAATGTGCCCGCCAAAATGCCCGAGTCCGAGTTCTGGACCAAGTTTTTTCAGTCGCACTATTTCCATCGTGACCGCCTTACCGCCGGTACGAAGGACATATTCACGGAATGCGGCAAGATCGATGACCAGGCATTAAAGGCGGCTGTGCAGCAGGGAGCAGGTGATCCCTTGCTGGACCTCAAGAAGTTTGAGGATGTTCCTTTGGAGGAGGGCTTCGGCAGCGTGGCCGGGGATCGCAACGTGGTGAATAGCGGCAATATTGTGCACCAGAACATGATCAAGCGGTTTAATCAGCATTCCATTATGGTGCTTAAAACCTGTGCCAACGTGACTGCTCCACCTTCGACTATGACCAATGGCACCAACAACGCCAACGGGCCGGTTTCGCATTCCGCCTATACAAACGGTGTGAATGGAAAGGCTACGTCGGCCGCCCCGAAGAACTCCGCCGAACAGGCGGACAAAGACGAACCGCAGAGTAAGAAGCAACGACTGATGGAAAAGATTCACTACGAGGATCTTGGCGATCCCGTTCTGGAAGGGGTGGACGATGGCACCAACGGGGATAAGGCCAACAAGTCCAAGCAGTTCGAGCTGTCCAAGGTGGAGCGCTACCTTAACGGTCCAGTTCAGAACAGCATGTACGACAGCCACAACGATCCTATGAGCTTGGAGGAGGTGCAGTACAAGCTGGTGCGCAACTCGGAATCCTGGCTGAACCGTAACGTGCAACGGAATGTCATCTGCTCCAAGGCGGCAGTAAATGCCCTGGGAGAACTAAGTCCAGGCGGTTCCATGATGCGCGGCTTCCAGGAGCAGTCAGCGGGACGTAAGTCAATCACTTCACTTTTCGATGAAATAGAGTTACATTTTATTTTGTCCTGCAGAACTTGTACCCAGTGACTTCCAACGTGAGCTGCGTCATCTATATCTTTCGTTGTCTGAGCTGCTGAAGCACTTCTGGAGCTGTTTTCCGCCCACCTCCGAGGAGCTGGAGGCGAAGCTGCAGCGCATGCACGAGACTTTGCAGCGGTTCAAACAGGCCAAACTAGTGCCTTTTGAAGTGGGTTCTAATCTTTCTATATACCTCTTCCTATGCAATAAATCACTTATCCTTGTTTCTTTCAGAATCGCGCCATGCACGAGCTCTCGCCGCTGCGCTCCTCGCTGACCCAGCACATGAACCAGCTGCTGCGCACCGCCAACGCCAAGTTTGCCACCTGGAAGGAGCGAAAACTGCGAAACACCAGGTAGCAAACGCCCAACGGAGGCGATCTCGAGCGTCTGCCACACACCTCAAGAACCATTATTATAGACTAGGACTAACTATAAGCGTATGCGGAACGCATTGGAATAAAACATTATTTGCAACTTGGTAGACCAGTCTGTTTTCATGTCTAATTCTGGAGAATTCTCGGACCGGCGTCGTGACTGCGGTTATTTTAGGGACGGCCGAAAACTGCGGTTAGTTTCGGTGCGTACTCGTGCCGGTCAATTAACAGAGCTGGTGTTTCTATAAAGGTTGTAATCTTCGGCGCTAAGCGCTTCAGTTGGTTGGCAGTTCTTGGTCGTGAAACAAAAGGAGACGACATTTTGTAAAATGGTTATTCAGCTATTCCTTTGCCTTACTTTTCTGAAGTGGTCCTTTGTGGAGTCCACTTTGCTATTTCAAACTAACTCGGAATTCGGTGTAAATATTTAAATTCTTGTGAAGTCTGAATTATAATAATCAAGGATCTTAAATTTAGATATTCATGGCCATATCCGTACCGCTTACTTTAAAGAACCGCAACGTCTTCCTTTCGTATAACTACGAGTTTAACTACTATCAGCCCGAGCACATCTACAAGTATCCTCCCATATTGGTGAGTTGGCTTAAAAAATACACGGCTTGATTAATCTAAAAATAATATACCACCCTGCTTAGATGGGTGATAATTGGGAGGACAGTTACCTCACTTATAACACCACTGGAGGTGTGGGTAGCAGTAGCAGCAGATCATTTTCTCCTGCAGATGGTAACGATTCCACAAAGCTTCGATTTAGCCGCTCCTTACCGGTCATGAGTCGTACTAATTTCTATATCATGCTCAAGGACAAATTGGAAAGGTAAACTATATAATAACATTTTAAATAAAATGCTCTACAAGAAAAAATATAATCCCCTTTAGAACTGGTTATCCTTCTGAGTCCTGTCTCCTGCGCTTAATTTGCGAAACTAATGCCTCGACACTTGGCCAAGTCAATGGACTCTTGGGCAGCATAGTGCATATCATATTCTCGTAAGTGGAGAAGCTTTTTCCAAACTGCTAATGATAATGAAAGCTCAAAGCGAACATGCTAACTGATAAAGCGAAAGATATTTTTAGCAGCAACTGAATAACTGGGGTTTCCTCTTGCAGACCCAGCAGCTCGAGTGACGAAAATCTCGACAAGGTTTATTACCAAGCCGAATGGGATGGCCACCGGCATGGGGACTGTTCGTCTTATGCGCGTCACTGCGAAGAGAATGTTTTGGACCTGATCTCAAGGCCGTTGTACGATGTTCTTCGAGAAGCAATGGACAGACGGAATGGAAGACAATAAACTGGATGGTCGATCAGGCGCTTACAGTTTGAACTGCATAAAACCAATTCGGATCGACACAGATTTTCGATTCGGGGTTTTAATTAACAGCTTCTTGAAAAGGCACCTTTCTTGCCGACTTTTCTCAAAAGCGGCCGCCAGTTGGTTTTTAAACGCTGTCAATCGTACATCGGATATTGGTTGCTATTGGATATTTTTTATACCATGTACAAAACTTTAATGTTAAAGCCTTTTTATTATTTGTGTGCCATAATAATAAATTTGAATCTTGCGAACTCCACGTTTCTCTTCACCACAAACTCCGAGTACGGGGTAATTTTGACTCAAGTGCTTTTGAGCTTTGTCTGTAAAACGGTTTTTGACTTCCAGATATTCATGGCCATATCGGTGCCCATTGGCTTGCCGCATCGCAATGTTTTTTTGTCCTACAATTACGAGTTCAATTACTATCAACCGGAGCACGTGTACAAATATCCTCCGATTTTGGTGCGTTCCCCAGTGAAGTTTGTTTCTTGAGTCTTTTGTTTAAATGTGTTTTTCCTTGTTATTTAAAGATGGGTCAAGACTTCGAGGATAGTTATCTGACATATCCGACCACGGGACGAGATGCAAATGGTCGGAATTGTATGAACTGCACGGATTGGAAAATAATGGAAAATAGCACCAACTTAAAAAATTCTTCAACAGAAGCTGCATCGCGTGAAAAGCGAGCCTTAACTCTAATGAGTCGCTCGGTTTTTTATGCCATGTTGAGGGATAAGTTAAGGAGGTGGGTTTTATTGCTGGTAAATTAAAGAAATATGTAACAATATAAGTAATCAATCTCCTTTTAGATCAGGATTTCCAGCTGAAGCCTGTTTACTGCGCCTTATATGCGATTCAAATGCCTCTCAACTGGGCGATGTTAATGGATTTTTGGGAAGCCTAGTACACATTATATTCAGGTCAGTTGGATTATTTAATCTTATGGACTATGTAACTTATTATATTTCGCAGTCCCAGCAGCTCCAAGGAAGAGCATTTGCCGCATGTGTATTACCAAGCCGAATGGGATGGTCGAGAGCATCAGGATTGCTCTGCTTATGCCAAAAACTGTAAGGAAAACATCTTGGATCTGATTTCTGTGCCACTTGAACAGGCTTTAAGCGATATTTTAAGTCGACGCAGGTGAAAATAAACTGAAGTACCTAAGAGAACCCAAAAGCATCTTTCTGGGGGGTTTGCCTATCTAATTAGCAGTCACTTGCTTTTAACGGCTGCCACGCACTTGTTGCGAGTGCCCGGCTTCAATTGCAATCCAGTTGCCGCCTGAACATCGTGGAGGTCTAAAGTAGCTCTCTGGTTAAAGAAAATGAATTTCACTACACACTTGCTCGGCCTGGTTTTCCTTTTACTTGTCTACCTGGACTTGACCAACTCCTTTGTGGCTTTCACAGCTGCCAGCACCCACGGTGTAAGTTCTTCTAAACAAGTCCACCAAAAATCACTTCTGAGTCACACCAACTTTAGATCTTTGCCGCAATCGCCGTTCCGCTCGAGTTGCCCCATCGAAATGTATTTGTCTCCTACAATTTTGAGGCCAACTACAATTTACCCGCCAACTGGGAGAAATGGACAATATTTGTAAGTTTCATTTTCGGTTTGTTTGCGCCTATAAAACGCCACATTTGTTGACAATTAACACGCTTTTGTGGCACAGTTAACATTTCATCCAGAATAAGGGTATTGTTTTGCTATTTACCCAAGGTTCTTGTTCCAGCAAAACGGTCCCATAGAATCGGAGGAAGTTGTGGAAGATACGGATACGGAGACGGATGCGGAGTCATCTCGAAAGTTGGCCACTGGGTGCCAAAATTGCACTGTGGAGGAGATCGAGGCGGGTAGAGAAGAACAGGAGGAAGTGGAGGAAACCACTGAAATACCCACCAAAGGTCGCCAGATTCGATCTCTGCTCACCCGCTCGAATATCTATCACATATTCATAGATAAGTTCAAGAGGTGGGTAAAGGTTTTATCCACACAAATTGTATGTTATTGATAAAATTAAATTTTAGGAGTGGTTTTCAAGGCGAAGCTTGTCTGCTACGTCTGATTTGTGAGACAAGTGCTGCTCAATTGGATGAATTCAATGGCGTTCTCGGCAGCCTAGTTCATGTTTTGTTCAGGTATTCAAAATATAAATTATTTTTTCGAATGTTTTTTATCTTTTTATCCCATAAAGTCCCAGCACATCGGAATCTGAAGACTTGCCCCTGCGTTATTACCAAGCGGAGCACGACGGTTGGAATGACCATTGCCATTTCTATGAACCTGGCTGTGGAGAAAGTATTCTAGATCTGATTTCACAACCCTTTGAAGAAATTCTAAAACACATTGAAAGCAATAAAATATAAAACGATTTTAGTTTGACCTGATTTGCCTTACTGGCTTTTCAATTAGCAACTTTCGCTGCTAGAAACTAGAAATTCTTAATTGGATCATCACTTCTAGCTGTTCTAGTAAAAGGTTTTCTCTTCAGACTTTTAAGGCTCACTTTTCAGTTCAATGAGGGCAGTTAGACAAGATGGTTGGGTATAGAACCCTTCCAATCCTGTTGGTTTTTGGGCTTTTTCAGACTCTGCAGGCAAAGTTTGTTTGGAGTACCGGAGGAGCTTCTTCTGTGAGTTTTTGTTTTGATTATTTAGGTTTAGTACCAGAAACATTTATTATTTTGATTGGTTTACTTAGCTTTTTGTGGCTATCGCCTTGCCATTGGATTTACCCAACAAAGAGGTTTTTTTGTCCTACAACTTTGAAGCTTCCTACGATTTGCCCAGAACTTGGAAAAAGAAGCCACCATTTTTGGTAAGATATTTTCCCAAAATTGTAATTGATTTTATTTTAAAATTTTCCCATCCAGCGACACGGCAACGGCACTAATGATGATAGTTTACTGAGTAATCACCATGGCCACCATCAGTTTGATGATTTTGTTTATGATGACTACTACGATGATGATCAACATTCGGGGCACAAACATAAACACCATCACAATAAGAAAAAGAAGAAAACTAAACCAAAACCTGGATCTGCTGGCAAACCATCCAAAAACAAACCGAAACATAAACACAAAAAAAAGCATAAGCCAAAACCGAAGCCTCCACCAGAGGAGGAAGGCGATGATGACTACAAGGACTTCTTTCAGGGATTTCCAATTGATGGAATGGGAGATCCCGTACCCAGAAGTCTTGAGAAGAGATCCCTACTCTCACGCTCTAAGTTTTATGAAATCCTTAGTCATCGTTTCGAAATGCAAGTAGTTCTAACTCATTCATTATTTTTTTTTAACGTTTAAAATATATTTTTAGGCACGGATTAGGAACAGGTGATCGCTGTTTATTGAGACTTATTTGCGAGGCGAATAGCTACCAACTGGGAGATCTCAATGGTGTATTGGGAACTTTGGTCCATATAATGTTTAGTCCCACTACCTCACGATATGAGGCATTACCCAATCGTTATTACATCGCTGAGTTGGATGGACGGAAAGGGAACTGCGGCGGTTATAAATCACAATGCCAATACAATGTTCTCGACACGATCACGCAACCCCTAAAAAATAAAACTGAAAAGCTGTGAAAAGTGGTATTCCTTTTATTTGTAGATGCTTTATTTATGTGGCTTTCATAAACATTTTCAAAGCTGGCCACGGACAGTTTTTTGCATAGGACTTTGCCTCTTGGCACATCTTATTATTCCGCTGCCACATTTTATCCGGACAGGTGAAAATCAAGCGAGCATAGGCACAGAGGCTATAGAAGAGGGCGTGTCTATCGCAGGCATCACTTTGCCGGCTTATTGGAGTTAGCTCCTGGTACTTGGCTCTAACTAGCGAGGAACACTTGGCAAAATTCGACTCATAGACATCGATGACAGGTTCACTGGAAAAAGCCCGTTGCAACATGGGTCGAACTTTGGCTTGAATCAATCGAGTTCCCTGCAGAGCTGAGCTCACATTAAAGATGCAAGCGAGGCGGCACTTTAAGAAAAATTATTAAATTACTAAATAAAATTAGATTTCTAGTTTTAAAAACTTACAGTGGCCTGAGGTCCCGATTTATGGCACTCGCTATTGTAAACTCCCCAATTTGGCATCGGTGCTGAACAACAAACGTGTACATTCTTTTGGAAATTCATTATTTCTTTATAAATAAGTTTAAAAGAGATTTTCTCACCTACTAACCTGCACAGATTTTGGAGCTGCGTTGCACTTGGCAGCCTCGAAGGGAACAACAAATCCTAGAAAAACCAAAGCAACAAGTATACGCCCTGTCTGCATAGCTAAAGCTTTCAGAGCCGAATAAAACAACTCGACTTTTGAAAAATATGTTAGCGTGCCACCAGCAGAGAGATAACATGGAAAAGATGATCAAAACACAAAAATTAACCCATTGATGTCGTTTGGCACTAGCTTAGTACCTAACTTCATTTGATAGAAAAAATTAAATTCTTTTTTTTTAATTCCATGTATACTTTCAGCAAAATTACTTAGTTTGGCATATCTATTTTTGCTAAAATATGTCTTCTGGCTTGCTGCTGTTAGTGAGCTGCCTATGGCTCCCCTTGATTGTTTATAGTGCCTCCAGTGATGAGGTGGAAATGCAAAAATGTGTGGATCTTCTGAACACCCAACGATTGGTCTACTGTTGTGGAAAGTCTTTCCTTGACAAATTCCTATTCGTGGGCAGCAATTGTACGCCCTTCTGGGACGATTATGGACCTGTAAGTAGTACTACCATAAAAAACTGAACTAGAATTGTAATAAAATATTTGAAGTGTCGCTACGAATGTCTATATAAACACTGGGACCTCCTCGATCAGGACAATAGAGTCAAAAAGCCGGAGTTTTATTTAATGGTCACCAGTTTGTATAGTCCCCTGAATGGATATTACCAATATGGAAACGCTTTGAAGGCAGCCCACGAAATCTGCGATGCCCTCGGCTCCAGGCACTCCGACTTTCTGTTGCTCTACTCCAATCAAATGACTGGTCAAAGGGGAATAGATTCCTCCACATGTTTACCCTACGCGATGATCCATGCCAAGTGTACGATGATATATCTAACCGCCAATTGTCCCAGTGAAAACTGGATGGAGGAGAGGGAGTGCAATAATCTGAAAAGAGTGTTGGCCAGTTGCACCAACAAACTGGACGAGAAATCGGATGGAATCAGGGACAAGTCGGAATCCACGGATAATGGGTGCGAAGTCACAGTTGCGGAGGAACTACGCCTACTCCTGACCAGTTTCTTAAGTCTGATAATCTCAAAGTTCCTGTCTGATTTCTAGGTGTACATCAGTATACATCCGTTGTTTACACCTAGAGATTATGTTTGGTTTTCTCTCTGGTGCTTAAGCATTTAATCGTTCAGGTGATTGCATTTAAGCTGATCCAATTCAAACGGGATAATTGCAATTGTCTGGCTTTGGACGAGCCTCCAATCGGACATATCGTTGGACTTTGTTCCCCTGGAAATCCAACTGCGGATCACGATGACTGCACATTTCACCTCACGAGACCCGCACTAAAAGTGTTTTTGTTGCGCTCGATTAATAATTTGTGTGGTGGAAAGTCCCATGGAACTGGAGTTATAAATTAAGCGGTTACTACTGGGCCAAGCTCAGACTGACTGAAATAATGGCCGGGAATAAAGCTCTGCTGATCTGCTGTTTTGTGGTGATGGTTGCGAGCGATCCCACGGATGTGGACTGCAACCTACGTCAGGATTTAAGTGTGAGTTTTCCCAAAACCGAGTTATGAATCGATTAATATATTTAATTGTTTCCATTTCAGGCCCTAAAGAACTGCTGTGCCTATCCCAAATTTATGTTTGAAGAATTCCAAAATCAATGTGGCAGGTATATGCCAGCTGGTGCTCCAAGAATTTCTCCAGTAAGTTTGAATTTTATGTAAGAAGTTGTGTATACCCTAACCCGTTTATTTTTTGTAGTGCCTCTATGAATGCATCTTCAATGTTACAAACACCCTCGTGGATTCAGCTATTCATCCTCACAACACCAAACTGATGCTGGAGAGACTGGTTGGTCCGAACCCGGAGTTTCAGGATGCCTACTTGAATGGCTTGCTGAGCTGTACGGAAACTGTCAAGGAGATCATGAGGGAGAGAAAGCCCCGTAAAACCGATCAGTGCTCTCCGATCGCGGTTCTCTACGGCGTTTGTGCCCGGAAACATGTGTTCAACCATTGCCCGTCATCCAGTTGGTCCGGAACTGAAACCTGCGAAAAGGCTCGTTTGCAAAACCTGAACTGTCAGAGTTCGAAGGCATCACGTGGTTACAACAATCGTTTAATCTAATGTCGTAGACGGAAATAAAAGTTTAAGTGAGCATAATAAACTCTTGATGGGGAGTGTTAAGTAAATGGGCCGAACCGAAAGTCATTTCGGACATCCGGTTGGAGGTGTATATATGGGATGTTTCAAGCTGTACGAACAGTAGAAGTACATCGAAATGCTTCAACTGCTGACTTGGCTTCTATTATTCGTCTCAGCTAATGCAGCTGTAGATAAATCTTGCGACCATCGGCCAGATGTGACTGTGAGTTATCAAATTATAAAATAGGATAGGTACTATAAAATAATACATATTTTCCAGAGCTTGAGAAACTGTTGCAAGCTGCCCCCTCTGAACTTCACCAGTTTCAACTCCAAATGCGGTCAGTACCTGCTCAATGGGGTTCACATTTCACCTGTAAGTCCGTGAATTTACTTAAGATTATAAGTTTATTTAACCCGATATTACAGTGCAGCTTTGAGTGCATTTTCCGAGCAGCTGGTGCCATAAACGGCACTCGTCTGGTGATGCCAAACATTGAGAAGATGATGCACACCATTCTGGAGACCGACGAGTTCTTCCAGGTCTATGTGGATGGCTTCAAGAGCTGCGCTGCTGAGGAGCAGTCCATGATCAAAGCCCTGAAGCGCCGTCGAGTGCCCATAACCGGAAAGTGTTCCTCGATGGCTCTGATGTACGGACTGTGTTCCCATCGGTACTTCTACAGGAATTGCCCGGAACATGTTTGGAGCAACACCCCCGGGTGCAATACAGCCAGGGAATACAACATTCGCTGCGACGCCTAGCCAACTGGTTAGCCCAATCAAATGAAATAAATCACATATTTCCAGCTGCTTTGATCGCTGTTTTACAATATTTATTGGGCTTATCCAAAAATCAGATCCCGCCAGGTGGGTTTCTCTTCGTACCCCATTACTTCTTGGCCAGATGAACAGCCCAGTTGGTTCATAGATTCATCTTCCTCGGCTTCAATGTTTACATTTGCTATAAAAATGGTTACCATATTAATATTTTGAAATCCTTACGGGTTTTTGCTTACCCAATTCATCCAAACTCATGCCCAAACGTTTGGCATGTTGCATTAGAGCTTTCATCAGCAGATTGGTGTCCACAACTCCATCCTGCTGCACATCTTGGAGGGAAACCATGATCTCCTCACTCATAACCTCGTCATCTAATTCATGCCCGGCTGAAACCATCTCGTTTTCACCTTCATACGACTAACATACCATTTGATATCCACTTTAATTTGCATTTCAACAATTATTTACCTCAGGTCCTATCACAAAGTCCTGGAAGGCAGCCTGAGCCGCCGAGCAGAGCAAAAGGCAAATGACAAAGGTTAACTGGTTCATGGCAGGTTAATCGACAACTGTTGCCCAATCGAACATCGAACTTTGACTGATCATAAAGCGCAATGGGAGCAGATGGAAAGTAATCGCACTCAGTTGTCATGGTCAATTTGCTGGCTAATGGTGAGCATTCCGAGGTCGGATAATAATGATATTCAAAAAGCGGACAGCAGATTAAATTTAATGTACAATACTTTTACTTTAAATGGTTGTTTACATTTTAACACAAGAATTATTGATATCACTCCCACAATATCAATAGGCTTGGCTAAAAAGCATTGTGAATTTTTTGTAATTTTTTTTTTTTACAGGAAATTTTCAGTTGGTAAATGCAGTTGAAGATGGAAGTCCCTTTATCTTGTAGCTCTTAGCTTAATATACATATGCTACATGCTTTTCAAAAAATACATTAAAAGATCTTTATTTGAAATCAACTGCTGGGGAGCGGAACATGTGGAAGAGGGTTGCACTGCTCTGCGAATTCCTTGGCCAAATTGCAGGGTCTCTCGTTTTTCCACATTTTCGGAGGGCAATTAAGAAAGGTCTCGGCATTCACGCAACTATATATTATCCCGGCGAAAGGTGAACAGCCGTGCGGCAGGACTTTGTAGGACTCAATGCCCAATGACTGCATGTGACCCTTAACTGGAAGAAAGCAGTGAAACTATAATTTGTTAAGGCCGAACTATCATTAATCATACGCACTGTTGGACAGGCAGGACTCAAAGGATCGGACTATATTGGTAACAATATCCTGGTCCCGCCGATGAACATGTTGTTCCAAATACTGCTTTACCCTCTCCATTCTTATTTTTCCATTGACCAAAGCTCCTGTCTCGCGATAAATGCAATCAGGATAGCACTGAAAAGGCAAGAAATAATAAACATATATTACTTTAAAAATTAAATAACTTACCAGGTGGGCAAAGCTGGGATACTTAGAGTTCGCTGACTTTAAGCCACTCACATGTTTGTGGCACTTCTGGGGCACGTCACCCATATCCAACTCCGGAGTTCGACAGCAAGTGTTAATGTCCTGAAAAGGTGAGCTATTATACTTCATTCACCTTCTTCCCATTTGTTCCACTTACAAAATTATTGAAATTCGGCGGCGCAGAGCAGTTAAATGCCGCTTGCGAACATTCCAGCAAAAAGAGCAGAAAGCCAAAACAAACGATCGATTTTTGCATGTTTATAATTTAGTGATTAATCGCCACTGCGGCGCTGCAAAAAGAATAAAATTTTTCTAGCCCGCCGCCAGCCGCTTTATATAGCCGAATTTGGACCGATTTTAATGGGCCTGTAATGAAGTCGGGTCGTTTGCCGTTTTTTGTTGGTTCAATGCGTCTGCCGAAGGCTGGGGAGCAAACCCCAGCGACGCACAAAGGTTGGTTGACTGATGACTGGACGCGATTCCACTCGATTATTCTGCCAGCAGCTCGTGCGTGACAATAAATTTTGGGGAAATACCAGAAGCTGCCGCAAATCGGGCAAAAGTAATACAAACGGACGATTAAAGCGGGATAAAGCCGAGTGACTCACTGCGAAGGCATCCATCCAGGTGGGAACGAAGGAGATAATCCTTTCGCTATTCCGTTACAGGCTAATTAGTGCGGCGTGTAATTAATGAGAATGCTGAAAGACGATGCCCCCATGGCACCGAAGTGTTGAAGATGCCAGCTAAGTAATTGTCGGCAGCTCAATCCACCAACTGACGTGCGTGTGCACACTGCGAGAAAACCAACCAACATTTGTGAAAAACCCAAAAGTATATGTACCTATGAATTTATTTTGACCTGGCTCCTGGATCTACCTGAAAAGGAATTATTACCTGCATATCTCGTACTGCACAGATGTTCTTATCGAAAACACACTGTGCCCACATAAACACTTTCAAATAAATACACAAGAAATCTGATCAACATAAACATATGGACTCAAAACAAAACCAGACTGAAGTACTTTTAGCGAAGGGCTCAGTTTTGTGGTGTCAGCATTAAATTTACTCAGCTCAGTTTGAAGTTATAACTCGTCGAATGTGAACGTCTGATAATGATTCATCTTCACATTACTAATTGGTTACATAGGAAATATCTTGAACCTACCCAAAAAATACAGTGTTTCCGCAATTAAAATGATTTAATAAGGAATACATTTAGATTGCCACTCGGTAGTCTTTGCCCTTTGTGTCAAACTTCAAGAGCTGCCTGTTTTTTTGTGGTTGCACTAAAAAACTATTGTGTAAATAAATAATTTTTGTTTGGAAGAACTGAAGCAGCTAGCCGAGAAAATGTGGGACATATCACAGCAGAAATACATCGGTGGGGATGAAGACTATGAGAACGTCCCGTCTCCCTGGATGGGATCCTTCGACAAGCTTCGTGGGGAAATGAATCGCATCGATGCACACATCTATAAGAGAGTTGTTCGTGAAGGACACGAGGAAAGAGATCCAGTGCCGGATAAAGCCCGAGTATCCATTAGATACAGGGGCTACTGGGAAGGCGAGAAAGATGCTTTCGAAGCCTCAGAACTATGCAAATTTGAGACTGGCAAGGACATGGTGCTCCAAGGACTGGAGGCTGCTGTTCGCACTATGCGTCCTTACGAACAGGCTGACTTCATCATATCGAACAAAGTGCTGAAATGTCTCTCTCGAAATCCCAAGAGGAATGCCCTGTTCCAGGTGGAGGTCATCGACTACTTTCCAATAGTGAAAGATGAGTTACCCGAAGAGGAGCTCGATAAGTTCTATGTCGTTTATCCCAAGGCAAAGGACTTTTATCAGGAAGCCAAGATTTGGGTGAAGCGCTTGCGTTACCCAAATGCAGTTTCCACTTTTCAAAAGGGAATCAACTCCTTAAAATCTTGCCGAATAACGAATTCCGAGGAGGAGCAACAGCAAACCGAACTGCTGATAAACATTTCCCAAGGTCTAATGATCTGCTACAATAACATGAACAAACCGAAGTGTGCCTGCGTCGTGATGAAGGATATTCGCCGTCTAACAAGGAACAATCCTTCTTGGAGGGCGCTTTTTCAGGAGGGACGAGCCTTGGTCTCCTTGGGGGATCACCATCGAGCCCGGAAGTCCTTAATTCTGGCACAGAAGAAGCAGCCGGAAAACCAGTTCATTAAGGATGAGATAGTCAGCATCAACCAGAGGATCAGAAATCTCGAGGAGGCTAGGCAGGAAATCATCGAACGAACCGAGGATCGTAAAATGAAGCTGTGGATACCTTAAAATAAAAATATTCCTTTTTCAAACTTAACTTTTACTAATAAAATAAATACATTTGACTTATTAACTACAAATATTTTAACCAGTATATATTATTTTTCTTTACAACTTGAATACTTTTTATTCAAACATTAAAATGGCAATAAAATTCCCCCAGTGTAATTGCGTGCGAGTTTCTCTTTTGTGGACTTGTTTTGTCTTCTGCTCAGTGATTTGCTCCTTATGCTGCTAACCACTAAGCTGATGGCTTTTTGGGCATAAAACGATTTCAACAGAGCTCCTTTGTGCTCGAGGTGGGCTTAAATGCTGCGAAAGTACATTATTTAAGTGGAAGTAAGGCGACTGCTTAATCCCCAACGAATCAAAACTAGCTTATTACCACTGATTGAATTAAGTTTTTCCATTTCCTCGAGCCTATCAGGTTGATTAAAAGTGCAGCAGTAACATAATGGATGCAACCAGGCTGATGTATTCACCCCACTGCCTGAGTTCTACCATAAACGAATTAAAAAACTTCCAGGTGGTTGGTGGTGTGACAAGCATTTAAGACAAGTGAGAAAAAAGGAGAAAATCTCTTGAAATGCGTGTGACATTAAATATGCATGAGACAGGACGAACGCTTTAATGCGTGCGGGGAACTGGAACTGGAGAATCGCCAGCGGAGCAGAAGAGATACACACAGAGAATCGGAGAAAGAGAGACAGAGAACAGAGAAACAAGCGAGAGGGAGAGGTACGAAATGCGGGACAACGAACATGTCTTTGCTTTTGGCACGGAGAGAAAGCATTTTTAAATTGGAATTTAAATGCTCCTGAGTGGCAGTTGACATTAGCATTTGTTTGAAAATCAAACAGTTTGGATAAGGATGTGGCCACCCCCTAAAAAGAGGACTCTATGTCCTCCCACCCAGCCAACAGCAGACAACCCTCATGTGTCACGAGCATTCCAAGCAGCCCCCAGCAGCCGGGGCATCCGTCTAAATGTTTATCATTGTAGTAAAAAATCCAGCAGACGGCTGAAAAGCTTGTGCATAAAAATGTTGCCTTTGTTTCCTCTACAATTTAATTTCCGACATTTTCCGGGAATCGGAATCGTTCGCCGTAGGCCTGCCCCCATATTGATATTTCAATAACTGTCGGGCCCCGTTTCCCTGCCACTTGAGTTTAATTTGATTAGGCCACGTGCGAGGTGTCTCGTGCGTACTTTCGCAACTCACAATTAAATCAGGACCTGCGACTTCAAAGGACCTGCGAGGAGTTTCGAATCCGTACAACGGATACACCTCACTCCTAATCCCGAGTATCCCTTTTCCGCATTTCCTAAACAAACAGCCAGCGAAATGCTGGGCAAACATGGAGCCCCAGCACATATTTGCATAAATCAAATAGGCAGATTTTCAGGCATTAGAACTGCAATCGAATCGTGTCCTGTTTGAGGACCCTACCCCACCACCCCCCACTCCACCCTCTCTGGTTCCACCTGTTGCCCGGCGAAAAGCTTTGGCAACAGCTTGTGGAATGCAGCTTTCGGGAGCTTTCCCGTTGTGGACTCCAAAATTGGCGCCTTTTGGTAAGAACCGGAGGCTTGTTAAGACACATCCTTCGGGTTTCGCTTCAGTTATCAGCGGAATGTGTGCGAGTGCGGTTCGTTTTGAAATTTCGAATAAAAAAAGTTTGCGGTTCGACAGTTCAAATCCGTTAGAGTGGAAGTAATTTTTGAAAAACGAGCAATGGCAAAATTATAAATTATAATTAGCAAGCACGAGAATAACAAATTGTTGTTGGGTTTGTGCAAAGTCAAGGGCCCTTAGTGTTTGGAATAAGTTCAAGTTTGGCCATAACCAGTAATCCTGCATATAAATGTGAACACAATAAAGTTTCTGGCCAAGTGAGAGTGGGCGTGTGTCAATAACCAAGGCAACTAGCAGAATCGACCAGTCCAGGCAAAAACAGCTTAAACATAATCATTTCGCAGCTTAGAAGGCGTTAAACGCATTTAAGCCGGGTCAAGTAAGTGGCCGAAAGGACAAAGGACCCGGACCCTGCGGCTTCTGTGGTCAGTTGAAAAGTCTCGAGTGTGATTGTTCAACGCACAAGAAACCCCAAGGATACCGAGCAAAAATTCAGGGAGTGGAGCGAGGAATCCCATTTTGCGGCAGCGAGCTTAGTTGGCCAAGAAGGTAGGCGATTTGTGGGCGGGGCAGGGGGCAACCAATTGTGGTTAATTAAAAAGCCAGTGCATACGCACGCTCATCTGTTGGAAACAATGCAAGCGGTTACAAAAGCGAAAATTCTGCGGCTGAAAAGCGGAGAAATGTGGGTTTTAGGGGGCGGCGGAGGCTTTGTTTCGTGTGTGTTTGCAGTATCGATTGGAAAATTCCGGCCAGAAATCAGCAATTTCCCATCCCAGCAGGGAATGGGTTGGCATAAACTGAATTAAAACCAACTGATAACCAGAAAGGACTTGTTGCCCATGGACTTCCGCTGCGAGCTGAGTAAATCAGTAAATCTCTCGCAAATCTGGCCGACATTTCGGCAACTTGTAATGCATTAAGCCGCATTTTTATTGGGCCAATAAATAACAGATTTGGCTGCCAGGTTCGTTCCCTTTGTGGCCGATTTTATGGGTGTATGTTTATGCACGGACTATCCTGCCGAGCGGAGATCCCTCACGTAGCTCCAACTGCAAGTTCCTGCACGTGCCGAAGACAATGAGCGGATGGCAAGCGAAAGCCGTTAAAGGCCAGCCAATAAAAGCCAACACTTGTTGGCAATCGCTGGAGTCCTCCCCCCTTCCACTCCTTTCAAAGGATATGTGCTGACTTAAGCAACTGGAAGTGGCCAGCAGATCAGGAACAGGCGGAAGTGGAAGTGGAAGTGAAAGTGGCAATGGAAATGGCAGTGCGTGCCTGCAAATTATGATGTTGGCTTGTCTAGACCGGCCCTTCCTTATTGTCCTTCCGAGGGCAGCTTTGGATAATTCCCACTCGTAAAATTTAAGTGTCCAAGGCGGATGAATAAAGGAGCCATTCATTTTCTCCAAACTGTTTCTCGAATCGAATATAATATATTTGTTTGCCAAGCAAATTCCTCTTTATATTCCCGATCGAGTACATAGCTACCACGCTTAAATGAGCATTTTAATTACAAACTTTCTATACGCTTATGCCTGCCTGCTGGCATTCATGGCTTCCTTTGTCCATGCGGCGTATACGTAATACGTAGTATGCTGCTGGTCTCTTGTGTGGCGTGTTTATAAATTTAAAATGCTTCTCTTTTTTGCCACGCCAGCTTATGCATATTAAATTTAATGAGCTACATTAATGAGAACCGAAAATAGCACTTTTCACCGATGTCCCGTGCAATTGTGGCGACGAGCTAAAAAAAAAACTCAGCCTTTAATGGCTCGAAAAAACGGGAATTACGCTTTTTTTTGCCTGCATACTTTATGGGATAAGTGCTAAATGCCACTACTCGGACTATTTTTATTTTTTCAATCCTCTAAAGAAATCCCCGGCAATTGCGAGCAAACATTTATAAGCATTATAGCAGCCGGAAATTGCAGATTCCCTCACATAGGCGAGGAAAAAAGGGAGAAGTAAAAATAACCCACAGGCAATCCCCCCAAGCAAACCAGCATTTTTTGTTGTGTCGCCTTCGGCAAATCCATTGTGTGCAATCGTACGAGATTAGATACAATCTTCTATAATAGCATGTGGAGAGGAGCCAGAGGAGCAGAAGAAACGATGTGCGATTTGTCCGTCTCCGTCTCCGTCTCCTTCTGATTCCTATTCCGATTCTGGACCCGTTTCTTGTGCCGTCGCATATTTCTGGTAATGTCCTTTTTATGCCATCGTTGAGTCGTCCGAGCTGAATTTGTTTTGCCCGTTTTCCCGCCGGTCGGGCATTCGTCAATTTGCCCGGCCGTAAATGAGATTTGGCCATGCGAGCTGTCAAAATGAATTTGCATTCGCACACCGATTCGAAATGAGCCCCTCTTGGGTTTTTGGGGACCTGTCTGCCGCATGAATTGAAATCAAATATGCAATTAGCAGGCGAGGCCATAATTCAGGCCTGCTAATTTCGCCCGACGTTATTTATGGGGTAATTAGAGGAGCGTCTCTGCCATTTTTTCCCTTTTCAAACTTAAAACTGCGGCTGGTGTACATTGCTGTCTTGCTAACTCATCTGTTTGAGGAAAAGGGGAAAATGCGGGGGCAACGGTGCGTATGTGCTATAAGTAACCAGGCGGCTAATGAACCAGGTCCCAGAGCCTTGGAAAACTCCGCAAAAGTCGTGCAGGCATGTGCCGTGCAGTAATAATCAGCCAGGCTTTTGTTTTATGTACATGCATTGCGTTAATTTACGAGAAAAACAAAAAGGGAGCAACAATGGACAAGGCAAATACGTGGGCACAGTGGGAGCCAAAAGTAGAGCACCCAAGTCCCACGGGGCGGGTTTTTCAATTTGCCTGCGGGTTTAATATTTCATGGATTGTGGCTGGAAATTCCTGGGCCAATTAGAAAATCGCCGGAGGAATGTTTTGTCCGAGTAAATCGGACATTCCACAGAAAATAATTGGCTCGGCTTGGGTGGCACTTAACGAAAGCCAATTTCATCCGAAATGGAATAAAAGCGTTGGTATTTTGGCATTTCCCCTGAGAATAGTGTGGTTTCCTGTTTAAAACATTCCAAAATTAAGTATTTGGTACTAACCACTTCCGTTTTGATTTTAGAGCAAACTTTTAAAGCTCACTGTGAACACAGACCCATCTACATATATAATATCCCGTGTGTGTGTGTGTCTTATTTTCCGCCCTGTTTTATATCATGCATTAATGTAACGATGCATCATTTATGCCATTTATTATCAGAACATAAAGGCAAGATTTCGTCTCTGTGGCGGAAGCAACCGAAAACAAGGAGGCCACACCCAGGATCTCTGGCCGGAAGTTAGCGTTTCTAATTTCTATCGCCATCGTCAACCGAGACGGGGGCCCTTTGACTTTGGCTTTTTATGGCCGCATATCAGTACCCAAAACAGGGCTAAAAGGCTGTGCCATCCCTCCGATCTGCTGACGCTTCCGTCCGCCTTTGATGGCAAAACTAATGAATTTTTATGGCACCAGGCACCACGCACCAGGCAGAAAGTGGGCACCAGGCACCAGAAAGTGGGCCTGTGCATTTACTTATCTAGCCACCCTGATTTCCCTGGAAATGGCCAGCGACTTAAAGCCGTCTCCCCTCTGAATTTACGGCCCTCTAAGCCAGCCGCAATGTGGGCGTGGCCCGCAGTCGCTGAAACATGGCCAATGCAATTAACACACACAGGCCAAAAGCCGCAGGCTGTGGTGCGGCGGTCAGAAGGGTTGCCAATTGAACTTTGCCCCACAGCTTGGCTTAGCCAACCGCCGGGGAATTCCCTAACAATTGGGGGAATTATAACTTTCTTATTGAACGAATAATGCAAGGGAGTGGCAGGAACTTTGTCAATAGGAAGGCAAATCGTTAGGAAACGTCTTAGTTTTTGTGACTCATGTCAACTTTAACATGAAAATCTATCTTGTGCTTTTCCTTAAAGGGGATTTTGAATTTAATCTTTATACAACTTGATTTTCTTAGAGTAAATAAAGATTTTATCAATATTAAAAAACAAGCAAAAATCAATAATAAAAATAATATTAATAATAATAATAAGGCTGCAGCTTTATCCGCTGCAATCAAATTAAATTATGTAGTACAATGTTCAAAAATGAGTACTAAAACTATATATTTATATTTATGACTACTTCTATGTTCAGAAATATCTCACACACCATTGCCATTCCGTTTAGTTTTTATTATACACTCCCCATAAACCATTTAAAACATAAACCACTTTTATTTTAGTATCCGCGATGCTGGGACACGGAATGTGGTAGGATGAGCGAGCACGGCCACATGGACTCGGCGAATGCCAGCGGGAGTGATCCCCTCCTGGAGCTGCACAACCTGGATGGCATCGGCGACAGTGTGGAGCTGCAGTGCCTGGTGCAGGAGCACATCGAGGCCTCGACCTACGGCAACTCCAGTGACCACTGTCTCACCCAGTTCGACTCGATCCTCTGCTGGCCGAGGACAGCCCGCGGAACCCTGGCGGTGCTCCAGTGCATGGACGAGCTGCAGGGAATTCACTACGACAGCAGCAGTGAGTGACAGTGAACCAGCCACCCTTTGACCTTTCTCTGCACTTAAAGGAATTTGATTGCAAGAAGGACATTAGAAAAATGAAACTAAAACAAATCGAAGATTAACTACCAATATAATATCAATTGAAGAAACTAATTGATAGCTCTCTGATAAGTACATATAATAACAATTCAAAAGTCACAACTATATTAATTATTATCAATCAAAGAGTCGAAGGCAAACAATGCCCTTAAGGTCTTTAATAAATTAAATTCATGTCCAATCAACCAATCAGAACAAACACTTTAATCAAATGTAAGATAATGATGTGGTGTTTTAATTGTAAGCTATCAACCAACCACCAACAAATAGAAGTCAAATCTTGTTACAGAAGGTTTAATTAATTCCATGTCCAATTAAAATTGATTTCCGAGCCTACAGATTAAAGTCAAAGCGTAAGATTATGAAGTGAAATATTTGATGTACTATTTCATTTTAAATACTTACTTTAAGCATCTTAAAATTGACTTAAATTCTCAGTGGTCCTCTTACAATTAAAATTCCGATGCAGAGGAACGCAAAAGTTAATTGTCCCCTGTCTATTTTAAAACATTTGTTGACATTTTCGCTGCGTGCCTTTCCCCTTCCGAATGCCAATGCCTTTCTGAACTCTCTTCTGAACAGAGAATGCAACGAGGTTCTGCCACGCGAATGGGACGTGGGAGAAGTACACGAACTACGATGCCTGCGCCCACCTGCCCGCCCCCGAATCCGTGCCAGAGTTCGAGGTCATCGTTGAGCTGCCCACCATTATCTACTACATCGGATATACCCTCAGTCTGGTATCGCTCTCGCTGGCGCTGATTGTTTTCGCCTACTTCAAGTAAGTCCATCGCCCGGTGACCTTATTTCCTTCCAAACAATCCTCCCTCCCCTCCTCTACCTTCCTTGGCATTTATTTTAGCCAGACCCGCAGCTAACAATATGCCCCAACCTTGTATCTTTGTGACCCCAGGGAGCTGCGTTGCCTGCGCAACACCATTCACGCCAATTTGTTCTTCACGTACATCATGTCGGCTTTGTTCTGGATACTCTTGCTGTCCGTCCAGGTGAGCATTATGTCTGCCAGATAATTGCGATTGCGATTGCAGCATTATCAAATCGTACTTCACGGGGAGCTCTTTACTGCTGACGGGCTTAAAAAAATAGTTACTTACCCCACACTTTCCGTAGATTTCCATCCGAAGTGGTTTGGGCAGCTGCATAGCCTTGATAACCCTCTTTCACTTCTTCACCCTGACGAACTTCTTCTGGATGCTGGTCGAGGGATTGTACCTCTACATGCTGGTGGTCAAGACCTTCTCGGGGGACAACCTGCGATTTAATATCTACGCCTCCATTGGCTGGGGTAAGTCCACTCCGCCTGGCTGTCTGCCAGCCAATTAAGTCCTTACTTCCTACCTCCTGTTGACAGGTGGTCCTGCCTTGTTTGTCATCACCTGGGCGGTGGCCAAAAGCCTGACGGTCACCTACAGCACTCCGGAAAAGGTGAGTCCACTTTGGGATTACCTCGGTGCGGAATCTTGAGTCCTCTCTTCTTTCCTTTCCGCTTCCTTTTTTGACAGTACGAAATCAACTGTCCCTGGATGCAGGAGACCCATGTGGATTGGATATACCAGGGACCCGTCTGTGCGGTCCTAATCATCAATCTCACCTTCCTGCTGCGCATCATGTGGGTGAGTGTGGGTCTGCACAGTAAGAATTGGTATACAAAGCAATACATATGGATCCAGAGAAGTACTTAAAAGGAACCATTTTATTGCCTTCTAAGTCGTAAAAATAACCTTTTTATTGTGTCACAGAAATATATACTTACGCAACATTTTAAGGCTTTAAGGAAGATTGGTTCAAGGTTTTCTTTGATTCAAAGATAAAAACCCTTAGTTTACTAGCTTTTCCCCAGTGCAAGTTGCCAAAAAAGTGGATAAGACTATCGGGTTACTTCTCTTCCAGGTTCTCATCACAAAGCTGCGCTCGGCCAATACAGTGGAGACTCGTCAGTACCGAAAGGCAGCGAAGGCTCTGTTGGTGCTCATTCCCCTTTTCGGCATCACCTATCTGGTGGTGCTGGCTGGTCCCTCGGAATCTGGCTTAATGGGTCACATGTTTGCCGTTCTGCGGGCGGTTTTGCTCAGCACTCAGGTGGGTTTCAGCCACCTAAGCCCACTCTTTGCTGCTTTTTGTAAAGGAATGTTTGTGTCACAGGGCTTCTCGGTGTCGCTGTTCTACTGTTTCCTCAACTCGGAGGTGCGAAATGCACTTAGACACCACATTTCCACGTGGCGGGACACGCGCACCATCCAGCTGAACCAGAACCGACGGTAAATACTTTTAACATCTAAGTTTGAACAAAGTAAGCTTGAAGTAACAAAAGAATTTCAAATTAGGAGAGCAACAAAGTTAAAACCTATTCTTTTACTTGTAAAAAGCATGTTAAGTTCTAGAAAAACATTGTATTCATTTTGAAGCTATTGATTTTTATTAGTACATAAAACAAAACACACTATTTAATTAACTATTTTTTGTATAAAATTCTTAAAGACATATTTAGTCTTTGTACTCTTTTTAAGAAAAACGAATTGATACATTGCTGACCAACTTATTTCCCTGACTTAAAGTGGATTTAAGTTGTAGAGTCCGAAAACAGTTACTCCCAATTTATAATCGCTTTTCCTCTCTCTGTAATCCGCTTTCCACTTGGCAGCTACACGACGAAAAGTTTCACGAAAGGCGGCGGATCCCCGCGGGCCGAGAGCATGCGGTAAGTGTTCCTTTGGAGGAAAGGGGATGGGGGAAAGGGGGGGGGAAGGAGGCCATAATTAGGGATAAGAAGTGACGGGATTTCTTGACTCGCACCCCGTTGCAGACCCCTCACCAGTTACTATGGACGCGGGAAGCGGGAGTCCTGCGTGAGCTCGGCCACCACCACCACGTTGGTGGGTCAGCATGCCCCACTGTCGCTCCACCGGGGATCGAACAACGCCCTCCACACGATGCCCATTTCGGCGGGGAACGCCATGAGTTCCGGCAGCACCCTGAGCGTAATGCCCCGGGCCATTAGTCCCCTGATGAGGGTGAGAGGGGGACCCAAAGGAGGCGGAGGTCACCAGTCCAGATCCTGACTAATCGTTCTGAAATTACAGCAAGGACTCGAGGAGAACTCGGTGTAGTAGGCGAACTCAGCCCAGCCACCCAGCAACCCAGCAACTCAGCAACTGCATCTTAAGAGACTGAACTTTCATTGAATTCCACTTCCGTGACGGAGATCTGCGAGTGCGATTAGTTAGTTACCACTGTACATTTTAGCGAGGAGTGCGATGAAAGAACGAAACCAAGTACCAAGCGGAGCAAGCAAGCAACTTAGGTTAGTCAATCGTTTTAAACTGTTGGATGTCGTCGATGTGAACCGCTGAGAGCCCCATCCCATAGGAAAAATCATAGGAAAACCCCAAAAGCTATAAACTTCAAATTCTAACTCGATGTGAAAATGGATTTACTCTCTGTACAAAACAGCAAATCTGAGCATCTAAATAAATGGACTATTTACTTCTGTGTACTTGATTGGCGTTTTCTTTACGGGGATTTTCATCGGGTCCTTTGAAGTCTCGAGCTTATGCATATTTCCGAGAAACATGTTCTCTTGGAGAGCGCTGTTATGGCTACAAATATGGAGAAAGTTGGAGGGAAAAGTTGACACAGCTAACACATGTTCGCCCTTCGCAACTTTTCCTAAAAGTATGCAACAGTTTGGCAAGCCAACAATACAGCGTCACGGAACTCAAAAATCTTTTACGATAATCTGCGCACGAAAAGTTTCTCTGGGCCAAACTTTCTATCAAAACCCAAATTTTATGAGCCAAACAGGATAGGGCAAAAAATGATGTCGGTTTCTCGTGGTTTCTGTGCTCTAAATATTTTATTAAGCTTCGAAACTTAATAGACTTCCACTCAATGGCGAACCCTTTTCACACCATTATTTTGACTCGCCCAATTACATTTATAATTGATAGAAATTACGGTTTGCTGATGAAAAATCTGCCCATAGACGGCCTAATTGTTCGCTAATTGGACCTGAGCGAGGCAAAAACAGTGCCAAATTTAATGAGTTAATTGAGCCAAGTTAAGCGAAAAGACCCCTTCTCATCCTTTTAACTGGCTAAAAGGTCAATCTTAAGGCAAACTGTGCATCCGAATGGCTTCTGCACTTAGCGTTATGTTTTTAAACAGACGTCCCTTAGAAGTAGTAAGCTGCAAATGTTGCACACATTTCAGCGTTCTCAGAATTCATGGAAACTGCTGCCAGTTGAGCCCCAAAAAGCTCATAAATGTTGCATGAGGAGCGGCCATGCAAGTGCAGATAAAAACTAGAAATGCTGGCAGCTTGTTTTTTTGTTCAGACTTTCAAACACCCATTTTTATTACAGTTACAAGTACACCATATTTGTATACGATTGAAATATTTAAATATCTGTTTCGTGTTTCCTAAAAGAAAGTTGTTTGTTTACAAATTTGTACTTCAACTTATTCTGTCCAATTACTTGAGATTTCTGTGGCCTGGCTCCAATGACAACTGAGTTTCGTTTTCCTTGGCAACTCCCATTCTGTTTTGTGTGAAAGCCAAATCCCATTACTCCACACAATAAAGGGTACATGAAATCTACGGCGAGTAGCAGACAAAAGAAAAGTCCCGGCAGAAGAGAGAATTCAGAGCCGAATACAAATGTAAATATTCCACTCCAACTGCTCCATTCGCAGAGATGCATGGCGAAACAGAAAATAAAATAAAATAAAATAAAATAAATGTTTAATGCGCTCGAAATATGTAGGAAACGCTTGTTCGGCTCTTCATTTGATATGCGGAGATTTCTTGCTTTCATTCTTTATTTCGCTTGCCGTGCTCCGTGGTTTCATATATATCCGCCGGAAGTGGCGATTGTGGCAGCCACGTTTCCGTGCTTAGCCTAATTGAAGTGCCCAAAGTGGCACTGCAATAAAAGTTTAAAGGAATCAAGTGGGTGAAAACATTGAGCCAAACAAACTCCTGGTGGAACTTGTGTTTAAAGTGTGGCAAAGCCGCAAATGGAATCACATCAATGTGTGGCAAGTCGTTAGCTTCCGTGCCCCCTCAACTTTCAAACTTCCGTCAACATATGCGTCGTGTGCAGTTGTCGCCTTGAAGATCCTTCGCCTGACAAGGACACTTGGCAGCACCTGAAGGACCCAGATGAGGGGGGCATTACGACGGGGAATGGCAGTAAAACGAGGCGCCACAAAAATGCCAACGCAATTGTAGCATTTTAATTAACCAAATTGTGCGCGTAAAATGGCAAGTTCAGCAGCGCGGGAAACGGAACTCAATTATAAGTCGCTTAGGCCACTATACATGAAATCTTTTTCAAAGGGTTCGGCAGCTGCTTTAATTAACGCCATCCTCGACACTCAAGAATTGGGCGGGGAATTTGGGGAACGGCGCAGAAACTCAGGCATTCCCAAGTTGGCAGCAGGTCAAAGGGCAAGCGAGCGTAGAAAAAGTATTTAAATATGGCGAGTCAACCGGTAAGTGAAGTGAAAGCGAAGTTTTCAGGTGGGTGCCCTAAATAAAATAGATTCAGTATTGATTTATCACTGAGAGAAAAGAACAAACATTGATCAAAGAGCTTATAAAATAGTATTAAATAGTATTCAAAGAAGTCAAGAAGTACTTAAAGTTTTCTAACAATTTTCAAAGCCATCAAAATTACTTGCAATTTAAAGAGAATAAATCTCTTAATTAACTTCAGAGCTTTTAGAGTCGCGAAAATATTTAAGAACTTGGCAAACTCAAAACTTTTTCGTCTATACACTTTGCTCGGATATTTAATAAAAGCCTAAAGGGGCCACACAGAGCCTGAGTAAATGCGAAATAAATATATAATTATTCGTTTTGCAGCGCAACTTTCGCCCGTAATTAAAACAGTGTCCATTGAACGCGATGAGCATTCGGGCCAATTGTGATTTATGTGCAGCTTCTGCCTTTCCGTCGGATCTCCTTAATTATGTGTAGATGTATTATGAATAGGCCAAAAGCTAGCGCCTCGATGGCGGCCGGAATTCCCCCCGAGTCCTTGGCCAAAAAGCGTGTTCCATGCGACGTGCCTCATGCTCGAATGCCTGTGGTTGTCGAAAAATTCGCCGCAGGATGTGCTGCCCCCCTCACTCATCTGCTTAGTGGTCCTTCGCCCCGAGGACTCCGGGTAATTAAATATTTGCTCCTGCCGGCTCAAACAATTCCATCATCGCTGGTGGGGACAAACTTTGAACTTGCGATGCCAGAGCAGCGGAAACAGGAACTTAATGCTGTCAACGGGGATGGGGGGAAGAACTTGCTCAATCCTCCTGCGGATGACGGCTTAAAAACAATTTCCACTGGCTGCCATCGCAACTGGGTAACATTCTTTATGCAAATCGAATTGGGACAACAGCTGCCGACGGGGAAATAGAGAAGAGCCTGTCACCTCCACTCGCTATATAGTAGATATATAAAGAGCTCTATTAAGATCGGATGTGTGTTGCATTCGAAGGGAACACTAATTACTTAAATGGACCTCCTTTAGCGCCTGCAATTATTTCCAGCATTTTGTTGCAGCGAAAATCAATCAAAATTGGGTGCAAAGTGCTTGACATCCTTTCTCGCTTAATTGATTGCCTCCGCAGCAGCAACATATCAATCAACGCCGCCGGCAAAGCAATTTTCCCGGCTTTAAAGCGGGTTCATTTTCCCGCCGACGGCCGCCACAAAGTTAAAGTGCGAAAATCAATGCGGTAATGAGTCAAGAGCAGCGCTTAAGGCCACTTTCCCTTTCTCCTTAACCCCATCCATCACTCGCGTTTACTGGAAGACTGCACGGCAGCATTATCCTTTCAGTCTGTAATCCCCGAGAAATGTAACTCGGCACCACCGGTGGCAGGAACCCCTCAATTTGCCCCACTATTCTGCGTCTCCTGACATTGGCAATTTATTTCCATATTCCAGCTGCTCCATTGACATTTGCAATGGCGAAATGCATGCCACGCGATGCTACGTTAGTTCGAGTTCGAGCCACAAAAACACTCGCCGAGTTCTTATTCATATTTATCCGCCCGGGGACAAAAACTCGGTTAGGGTTTAGGGTTAAGGAAAAGTTTCTGCGGCTAAGTGTGCGAATTCCGAAACGGAAAAGAAATCAATAAACTGGAACCCAACTCGAATGTCTGCCCTGTTTTTGGTTTTTAGGTTTGTTTCGACCCCACTAATTGGCCCATAAATAATTTAAAACGGCAACAAGTCAGCGTTCTGTATACATAAATATTTTTTTGGCTGTTCTTTAAGAGTGAGCCAGACCCTTTTTTCGTGTGGGGAAAGTGTATAAAGTATAGATACGAAGCTGAGCCAAAGTTTCACGATATAATTGGTTTTTTTGGCAAGTGGAAGCCGGCGAACTCGGAGTGGCCAAGACCACATGCCCTGAATCATCGACTTGGCCAGCAGTTCTTGGCAGAAACTTTTGGCCAGCTGTGGGTTTGGTTTAACCGCTCACTTTTTCGGAACTCTATCTCTTTCGTATTAGACAGCAGGGAGCTGTTTTTCCCTTCTTTCGACCGGGGTTTCCTTCTTTTTTTTGGTTCAAACCTAATTTATAAGCATCAAAGAATACAAAATGTGCTGCCTGCAATTTCCGCTTTCCAATTTGAGACAGAGTTTACCTTTTCCTTGTGGTGGACACAGGTCGAAGGAGGAAAAAACCGACAAACTTTTCGTTTCTCCTCGCAAAAATCAACAAGTGTTGCCACACAAGTTTTCTTTTGGCTCTTGACACTCGGTGACAGCTTTTCAAGGACCATTTCCCCCCTTCTCCTTCACTTCCTGTCACCAACATGACTTTCGACTTTAACTCTGTCCCACTGACTGATTTTCCTGACAACCTCGGGAATCACAAACACACAAAGTTTGCCGTTCGCTCCCCTAACTTTAATTGTGTTTGCCAAATTGAATAAAGAACTGCTTAACTCTCGATGCTCCTCGTCTAATGGCTTATAATGCAATTTGAATTCGGCCCGATAATGTTATTTGCCCCGGGGAAAAGGAGTCGCCTTCAATTAAAAGGTGAGTGCTCGTATTTGAGCGGCTCGACAATCCTTTTTTAGGTCAGGCTAAGGCTAAAACCTTTAGCCAGGCGCTGAAATGCAGTAATTAATTGTGCCGCCAAGCCCCCGAGCGACTTTCTGGACTAACAATAATGCAGAGGAGCAGATATCCCGGCATTGTCGTATTCCCCGGCCCATTAGCGCAGGTGTGGCCTGTCATTGACAGCTGGCATTCACGGGGAGCAGGCGGTCCAAAAAGGTTCACGGGATTTGGGATTTCTGTCTTTCTTTTCCGTTTCGTTATTGTCGCATTAGCCCGACGCGTCGGTTGACGTTTTAATTGGCGCCCAACGGGGGGCATGAAGGCTTCGCTCTTTGCTCACAATATGCTTTTATGCAAGGTAAAAACATATTGATAGACATTCGTTTCCAAGCAATTGGGCAAATGCTTATGCAAATGGCAAGGTGCAAATGAAAGTGCAATCGAACAACAACAACAATTAGAAGACCCTGCCATTCGGTGCACATCCTCAATTTTATTCGAGCTCACACATCGATTCGACTTGAACTCGACACCTTTGGGTGCTTTTTACATTGCAGTGAAAAGGTTTCCTCCGTCCCTTTTCCACCCACATATATTCGATCTGAGTTCGATTCCGAACTGCTGCCACGCAGACGTTTCACATTTCCAATTACATTTTCATGGAAATTTTTATGCTGCAGGGTACTTTTTCGCTGGCTCGGGGTTTATGGTTTTCGATGAGAAAGAAATGATCGAAAAGAGACAGAAATTTAATAAAATTTAATATTGCTTAAGGAAGGGCTCTCCTAGGGATAAATAGAGTAAGAAAATTGCTTTGAATAGATGTGCTGATTCTGTACTTTAAATTACAGTTAAGGGATTATCATATAAGTTGAATTTCTTAAACTTTTTTTTTAAAGGGTAACTATTGTTGGAATCCCCCTGGAGAAACATATTGTATCGGAAACCGGAAGCATGGCATATGCAATGGAAATATTTAAACACAATTTATTACATAACAAGTTTATTGGCGTTGCCTTTCAACTCAGTATCCGATTTCCGAGAATTGTATCAACTTTCCCTTGCTTTGATATTGAAACAGTCGCTTGTTTTGTTTCCGACTAAACTTGTTTACCGTCTGCTCTCGATAGCATTATGTGGCTGATTGTTCCGCTGCTTCCGGTGCTCCTGCTACTTCCGGTCATCTGCAGTTTGCAGTTGTACCGCGTTCCACTGCGTCGCTTCCCCTCCGCCCGCCACCGATTCGAGAAGCTGGGCATCCGGATGGACAGGCTGCGCTTGAAGTACGCCGACGATGTGAGCCATTTCCGCGGGGAATGGGACACGAAGGTGCGGAGCACCCCGCTGAGCAATTACCTGGATGCTCAGTACTTTGGACCCATTTCAATCGGAACTCCGCCGCAGAGCTTCCAGGTGATCTTCGACACGGGCTCCTCCAATCTGTGGGTTCCCTCGTCCACTTGTGCACCCACCATGGTGGCCTGCAAGGTGCACAGTCGCTACTTCTCCAAGAAATCGAAGAGTCACCGGGCAAAGGGTGACCCCTTTGCCATCCAGTACGGCAGTGGCAGTTTGTCGGGATTCCTCTCCACCGATGTGGTTGGCGTGGCCGGGCTGCTGATCCGGGACCAGATCTTTGCGGAGGCCACCGAGATGCCGGGTCCCATCTTCCTGGCGGCCAAATTCGATGGGATCTTCGGTCTGGCGTATCGCAGCATCTCCATGCAGGGCATCAAGCCGCCTTTCTACGCGATGATGGAGCAGGGTCTGCTCCCGAAGGCCGTTTTCAGTGTCCACCTGAGCAGGAATGGCGATAGGGACGGCGGAGCCATATTCTTTGGTGGCTCCAATCCGACCTACTACAGTGGCAACTTCACCTACGTGAAGGTGAGCCATCGAGCCTATTGGCAGGTGAGAATGGACTCGGCCTCCATCAGAAATCTGGAGCTGTGTCCGCAGGGCTGTGAAGCCATCATAGACACGGGAACCTCCTTTCTGGCTTTACCCTACGATCAAGCCATACTCATCAATGAATCCATTGGGGGAAAGCCATCATCTTATGGACAGTTCTTGGTGCCCTGCGAAATCGTCTCCAAGTTACCCAAAATGACCTTCACCCTGGGAGCTCGTCAATTTTCCCTGGATGGTCACGAGTACGTCTTCCGGGATATCCACCAGAATCGAAGGATATGCTCGTCCGCCTTTATTGCCGTGGACCTGCCTTCGCCACGAGGACCCCTCTGGATTTTGGGGGATGTCTTCCTGGGGAAGTTCTATACCGAATTCGACATGGAAAATCATCGCATTGGCTTCGCAGACGCCAGGAGCTGAGGCCACGAATGCTGTTTGATGTGCTCCTTGTTATTTCACCGACTGGTTGCCATAACACGCGGAAAATCCTGCAAACAAAAAGGAAAAACAAACTCATCTTTTGATTTGATAGCTGGCAAGTACCCTGTATTTATTTAGGGTTCTCTTCCCTGAAAGTGTTGGTTAATTGAATATTTTATTAATAAAATAATGTTAAGTATATTTTATAATTGTGTGGAGAAAAAGATCTTGCCGTAGAAAGTGATTGTGTGGTTAATTCAGAAATGATTTACGTTGTGATAAATTTTAGAAAGAAAGGGTTTGCTGACCAAAATTCACTACTTCTGAGTTCATAACTTTTGTTATTTTGATCAGATTTCCACGTGACATACCCCTATAAGTGGTTTTATATTAATTCTCTTACCATTTTTTAATTTTTATGATATAATTTGATTTTTTATTGCAATTTGCTTACCTATTTCAATATACCTCTTAATCTTAATGGGTACGCCTTGAATTTTTGTTAGCAAGCTGTTGCTATTTTTGGGCGCGTGTTCATCTTCGTATTTGGAACAATGTTTGTGGTATGGATACGGATAGGGGAGAACCAAGGGGAGGAAGGCCAAAATCAAAACAGAATTTTATTATTTTATTACCTGCTGCTCCTCCGGCTGCTCCTTGTGCTGCTCCTTCGGCTGCCTGCCCTGCATTAGTCCTGTTCCAGTGGCTTCCCCACCAGAATCTCGTGTGGGCGGAAGCTAATCAAAAAAATCGCTTGCAGCGAGCCGATAGAGGCCGTGGGCCAGAAGTGCGGAAAAGCGGGAAAAGTGGGAAATGCGGGAAAAGCGGGAAAGATGAGTTCCTTGGGCGCACTAAGGATGTAATTGATTCCTTGGAAAAACAATGTCTCTCCTTTGTCTTTCTCAATTCCCTCGGCTGCGACGCTCCCAGCGATTTCTCTTCGCTTTCTCCAACGCAAATTGCGGGCTTTAAAAAAATTAAATAAATAGCTTTAAGTTTACGAGTGACGCGCTGCGTTTGTATTCAAATTCCCAGCCGCGGTTGCGATATCCTTCCGGATACTTTGGAGTTTTCCAGCGACGTTTACGAGCTGTCTCAAAAATTGCAAATACTGAATAGGGTAAACATTTTAAGGGTAGTTTGGATATTGAGCGTTAACTGAAGTATTGAGCCTGTGATAAATAAATTTAAAACAAATAAGATAAATATAGAATGTCACTGAATTTAATTGGAATAAGTTTTCCCAACTTCTGACTTATGCGATTTAGATAGTAGCTAGAAATATTAATTATCTACTTGATGCACTTCTGTATTTATTTTGAAAAAGCAGATAAGTTAGCAGGGTATTTTTTGATCGAAACCTTAAACTCAAGCCCACTCCCTTTGTAGTTATAAATATATTTACAAGCAATCTACAACGTATATTTGTGCGTATTGACGTTGCCTTTTTATGTGCACGCATCGTTGGTCTTTGCCGCCTTCAGCTTTTCTTCAGTTTTCCCATTTTGCGGCATTTTCTTGTTGTGTTTTTTGTTTTTTTTTTTTTTTTTTTTTTTTTTGGCGGCTGCGGCGACTGTTTCTTTTTATTGTGGCTCGGCACTTTCTACATTGACCTTTCGCCTTCGTTTGCTTTTGGCTGGCGGCTTACACGGCCTTTATTGATACTCTCGGGGCGACTTCTTTTGGCCTTTTTACGGCCTCCGTTCACTTTCATTCATGGACGAATTTTTCAGCTCTCCCCATTTGCGGTTTTAAAAACTGTTGACTTTGCCGGCCTTTGAATTCCCGGCTTTCCTTTGGAGGGAAAACGTTGGCCTAACCTTTTTGGACACCCAGCACCTCCTCGTATCCTGTGTGAAATCCTGGCACACGCAATCCCATTCTGCGGGATTATAGCCTTAATCCTCTCATCGAACCGTCATAACTTGGTGTTCAACAAAGCAAACCAAATTCCTGGTCAGCATTAGTTGCGCAAATATTCGATAATAAATACCCATTAGCAGCAGCCATTTTCCTCAACCTAAGCCTAAGGAATAAAGCAACACCAGAATGCCTTTAAAGCCAGTTCTCCGATTAAATAAAAGCGGCTATGATTCCACTTGGCCAAGGGTTAAGACCCGGTCTCTCGGAACGGTTTTGCTGGCTGAAACGGTTGTAGCCATTTAAATGCTAAGCCGGCTGACGAGCCACGGGATTCCCCGCCGGCTTTATCAGCAGTTACAACCGAGTTGTGCAATGTGCTAAATGGCAAAAAAAACAAAAAGGGAAAACTGCAGTCTCCTTTCCTGGCAGTGTGAAAATTCAACGAGGCAATGCTGCGTTTTTCTCGTTAAGTGGCCTTTGCACAATCAACTGCCGCAAAAGAGTGGAAATCGCTGGGTTTTCGTCCTTTTGGCAGATGTCAAAGCTGTTTGCATTCGCTAAAAAGGTCAAAAGACTAATAATTGTATGGCAAATGCAGCGAGCCAACATTTATTTAATTTGAGCTGTGAGTTTAAAGATACAAAAGCAGTTATGCCATAGTTTTGCGTCCTTATGAATAATTAAGTACAAGCCAAATACTTGCTGAAGTGAAAAGTAGATAAAAGAATCCATTTAAATGGAAAAACACGTATACGCCGCTTCAGAATGTTTTTAAATGACAAATAAAACAATGCATTAATAAAATCAATATTAAAAATAAAATCCAAAGATAAAACATAAACAATATTTGATTGGAGGAATGCAAAAATGGATTTGTGTAAGAGTGTTCATGTTTTTTAAGTACCATTAAAATAAATGGTTATGAATTATTGAAATGAAATGGGAATCAATTCATTTATTTGGTGTGTTAAAATTTAATTTTTTATATGCACATGTCAGCAAAACACTCACAGGGGAATTCGTTATCAAAAATTGTCAGTGTGGAAAAAAAAAACGGAGCTTCAACCGAAATGCAATAATGGTTAATAAAAAACGGAAGCGAGCCAGCTTTGAAGAGCGCTCGACATTCATCTATTTATTTCGAGAGGTAATTGTAAATGGGAGCGCATAGAATCTCCTCGAAGAGGATACCCATAAAAGTCCTTCAATTGGTAGTCAACCAAAACGATTGCCATGACGAAACGGGAGTAATTGGGCCAGCAAATGCCCTCGACTGGAGTCGAAGATTTCTGTAGTGGAGGGTGGAGGGTGCTTGCTGCTCATTTGCCCATGTCCTGTTAGATAACCGGGAAGGGAGGACCCCCAGGACCCCAGATAGGCATCACAAAGGGGCCTCCTGCCATCTTCAGATACTGAAAAGCCGAGAGGGACCCGCAGAATTAAATCATTCGATAAGATTATGCGTACAATCTCGGGCCGGCAGAAATGTCCCCCGCTATTACTATGCAAATTTACGGCCCACCCAGTTGGCTGTTTTTATTAAATTCCTCGTGGCCATCGTCTGGGCAATGTCCTGGCTAATGATGCTTAAAACCGGGCTAATGAGTCAATAAGGCAATTTGCCAGGACGCACAACGCAGGACCTGCCATCCATGCATGCCCCAAAGTTGTTATGCCACTTAATTACTTTAATATGACGTTTTGTGTGCTCTGTTTTGACAGTTGAGCACTGGGAAATGATGAAGGAATGGGGGTGGGAGAGTCCTTACAGGACATTTAAACTATCCTGCTGGCCTGCTGGGCCTGTCGCTTGTTTTGCCAGGCACTTTGACACCGACCACCGGACATGTGCGTGCCACCCAATCGCCCAATTCGCCAGGACATGCGGCCTGAGTCCTGGGCATGGACACCTGCATTGCCTATGTCAATTACTTTCCCGGCAATAGCAATTAATTTTGGGGTCTGTGTTCACAGGCCGGAAAATGAAAACAAACATCTTCCTGGAACCGCCCCGAGTCGAAATTTCATAAGTTCAATTGAGGGGGTTACGATGTCGAGTTTGGCAACAAACCGCAAAGCAACTTTGTTCCATAACTCCGAACTGCAAGTTTGAACTTTCTTTAATATGCGAGTGCAATTTCGCACAATAAAACTGCCACATTCGACCAGAATCGAATTTTCAATAAAACAAAAGTTTTGCCGACCATAGTTTTAATTTATTTGGTATTAAGCTGAAACTTTTGATACCAGAACTTTGCAGCTTAATTGCAAGAGCGAAATGCTTAATAAAGCATAGTATTAAGCTGAACAGTACCAATTGGAACATAAAGTTAAAGAATTACAGAAACGAATTATTAATATTATTTAAATGAAATTCGTATTAAATTTCTGTACTCATAAAACAAGATTAATATGTTTTTCTTTAGCAAAGTTACTTAGTGCTTCGATTTACTCAAGCCAAACTGTTTGACAATTGAGCTGCTTCGAGATTCTTGAACCCCCGAGGACTGATCTCTATATAGTGGCCGTAAAAAGGACAAAAATACATTCTGACTCGTATAAATGTACTTACACATGTTGAGCGGCTAGATGAAGGAAAACATAATGGCCGGGATCATTTATCAAATATCCTTTGTGTCTGCCAGGCAAACATTAATCTAAGCCCCGTGCGAGTGGGTGGTGCCAGCAGTTTTGAGCACTCACTCAAAACCACTACGGAAAACTGTTTGAACAGCCCTCAAAGCCATTGAAAATGGCGCTGCCACAATATATTTCGTGTTAAGTAAGATTGCTCTACGCCCTGTTACCCCCATCACTCCACCGAAAAAGTTTCAGTTTCGGTTTGGGTTTGGGTTTGGGTTTGGCTGTGCCTTTAGTTTCAAGGACGAACGCCCGCATATCCCTCCAGTCACTTTCCACTTGCCACTAATCCCTGACGGCAAACGCGAGGACCCTGTCATTTTTAACACATTACACATACGCCGTGTGGGCCGCGTCATTGTTTGCCTTGCCGTCGCGTCCTAAACGTTCGATTTCGGCGAAAAACGTGACAACGTTAACGCGAAATTACACTCAAGTAGGAAAGTAAAGCGAGAGTAAATAATGGTCGATGGGGTAAGGACCTTGGCAGCTCTTTAAATCGGCAATTCGAACGACAATGGCTGAATCAAATGAATCTGCTGCAGCGACTTAATGGGTAATTATCCGCGGCAATTATTTGCAGAAACTGCCATTTGGCATTCATTGTTGCAGCGGCGTTATATCTTCATTAAAAAGTAACTACTCGGG